GAGCATAAATTAGTGGGATGACAGTAAAGTCCTGGTGGAGCTGGTAGTTAACGCCTGAGGACCTGAATGTTACCATGTCATTTGCGATTGAGATATGCCCACGCATCTTACGTACGCACTGGTACCTCTGTGCATAAATGACGATCTGCCTTTATGTTTCATTTGCAAAGGCTGTCATTTAGAGGGCGCTCTAGTAGCTTACCTTTTACAAAAACAGGTTAAAGGTGGTATTTTTTACAGGGCATTATCCGATCACAGAACGAGTATGCTCTTACGTTGGACCAATACAAAATAGTGAACCGATTTGAAAATTTTGCTCAGAATTCCCTGTATATATATGTATATATTTTTACCATAAAAGAAAGTGTTCTTCGGCGGCTGCGAAGCAAAGATCCAGCCTCAGAACAATGTAATATAATTCTCCATACACTTTTCAGGAGCCGTCCGGCAAAGCGGTAATTACCCACATCATTTCTATCTGGCCATCCATTCTCGGTTTGAAGATAATCAACTCTCTGTTGAGAAAAATCCAGTACCTATTGGCTAGCTTATGCCCATTAGGCTTCTTAAGAACTTATCAGGAACTTAGTGAGGGCAAATTAGCGAGGAGATTTGTGCGTATTGGTTAGTGCAAGGGATCGTGCGCACCATTGTCTGGTATTACATTTATCTGCTGCTATTGTTACAGATAGTTGGCACCGAGAAAAATGTAAAAATTAGTTGATTATTATCAAGATAAATTTATTATGCTTTTTGAATTGGGTGCTGCCTTACTAAGCATTGATTCAAACGATTCGTTCCCAGCACAAATCGAACCGTGTCTATGCTCAATTTTTAATCCAAACTACGCCACATTCCCTCTGTATTTCAGAAACAGACATATCATAACTACGCCTTTAACCTACACTCAGTGTTAACTTAAAACTGAATAGGTATAGAGTTCAGGCTTACTCAGCTTTAAATATGAGGTCAATTCTCCGTGCCTGTTGACTGCAGCGGAAGGCACCGCTCGGATTATTGTCTCGGACTTTGAAGTCAGCTACGAAATAACTGCTTAGTAGTGATACTAGCGGAGACAAAAAGACGACTCCTCTGTACTGAATGGAAGGAGATTTCGATTATGTGGAAGTACCAGCTTGATGCTTTCCGCTATGATAAAGAAATTCAGAATTGCGGCGTGTCGTACATAAGTAGAAACAAAAATGCTGACTTTCTGCAACCTGTTATTTTACCTAACGAGAAGTGCTTTTGTTGTCGTCTTTTGAATTCATACTATCTCTTATTATAACGCTGCAGGCCCCCTCTCGAGACACCTCATACGTTCTAATTTTCTCAAAAGAAGTATTGTTACATCTGAAAATTCGTAAATAATTAATATATGAACGAGCCTATTGACAACCACCTGTATTCGGATACATTTACTTTGTTGAACGAGGCGCGCCATTTTCCACTTCGCTGTCGCGAGTAGGTTTTCGTCGCTGAAGTCCTATAGCGAAATTAAATTCTTCGGTACTAATTTAGTTTCTCGCGGTCGACGACGAATGTATCGATTATCTCATCAATAACGTCGTAGTTAACGAAGAGACGACTGAAAAAAGATTTCTGGCAGGTAGTGTTTCTTCTGAATTTCGATCTTAAAGCATATTGGTAATACGTGATGCATGTCCCATATTCGCGGCGATTGTAGAGCAGACAAGGGTACCCGTTAATAAGGTGTCTTCAACGCGAATGTTTCGTGTAAATTGCCGTAGCGTTTCAATAGCGACTTTCAGAGTCGGTAAGTCTTTGAGGGCACAACGTAAACCCATAATACTCAGGTTTACACAGTTTTGTCTGGTTGTTTGTAGCAGCTCTTAAATAAACGGCAATAGACTGAACTTGACTTGATTTCATTTGTTTGATATTCAAACAAGCACACTGATTACGAGAGAATAACCCTTCGCAGAATGGAGGTGTATTTGTAAAAGCGTCGAGGTGTTGCTCTGTATTGTCTCAGAATATTAACACTATGTTATGTAATAAATATAAATGAAAATGCTGATAAACTGCCATCTACGATTTATTAGCCAAAAGTAAATTGCTTTTTGCTCGTGACCCTGTAATGTGTTCGGGTGTTGGAAACAGAAACGGTTTTCAGACTGATGATTCAATAATAATAATATCCACTAGAAGGAAACCATATATATTTATGATGAGCTCGTTCACCAGCTGAACTTCCTGTTTTTGAACCTTACTTCGGATCGATGGAAAGTGGCTCACGCTGAGTGCCCCTTCCGGAAGGGGCCCTACGTATTCAGTGGCATAAACTTCGAGAGTTGATCAAAGCAAATGACCCCAAAAGCCGTTCGCTTACTCCTAGAAAAAGTAACAATCTAAATTATCTACTGTTAAACCATTTGATAAGACATGATAGACAGGGTTCTTGGGATTTATTGATATTTTTGTCAATTTCAAAAGAGGCGACTTTTTGATTTAACTGCTGACAGTCACAAGAGGAGCCAGAAAATCATTGGCATCTTAATCCTTTCCTTTTCATAACGCCTGCGGAATCTGTACGGAAGCGCTGTCATATGTATTAAGTATATCAACGAGGACTTTTATCTAAATGACTGCCTGCGCCGTGGCACAGGCTTCAGTAGCTTGCGTACTTACGAAAGATGTGCCAAACAGTGCAATCCAACAACATATCAATATTTGTAGTGATACAGTGTATTATGGATACAGATAAACAAGAACACATTATCAAACTACTCGCCAACCTCAAAACAGCAGGGTTTCAAGACTGGGTTGCACGACCCGACGGAGCTTTCACTCCAACACGCGAGGATTGCAAGATTCGGGGCATCGACAATTCGAGAGCTAACAAAATCTTACAAAAGGAGTCGGAGGGGGGACGCTGTCAGCATTGAGATTAGACTGCTGTCTAGCGTGACCTCGTTAATACGAAGTTAATTAGTTCATTAGAATTAAGCGGGTGCATAGTTAGGTAGAACAGAAGTGTCAGAGTGATCGATTGATTCATCTGGCGTACTGTAAAAAGTCAATAGACTGGCCTTAGAATGCTCTAGGAACGGTCAATAGGAGCTGTCAATACAACACCCATTTCCAAAAAGTTCTAAAAAGGTCTATTCTATTAACAGCCCTAATGGCCGCAAATTTCCAAAAAGCAGCGGATATTTGGCAATAAAACCCATAACGTAAAGGAAACGCAGTTTGTTTGTATATAAAATAGCTTTTTTTACTCTAATGAATTGTTTATATATATATATATATATATATATATATATATATATATATATGGCTATAGCAGAAGTTTTCGAAAGAACTCTAGAGCCAAAAACTTCAAGGCCGAAGGATATATATTTATAAACGTAATGAAACACTATTGTGTTGTATTCTATTCAAACAGATAGGCTCAGGATTATTTCAGAACTAAGTCTCCAGACAAAATGATTTGTTAGTATGTCATCTCTCAGTTCCCTTAGCAACCATCCAGCCTATTGCATCGCAAGGCATGTTACACCCCTTGGTCTGATTAAGAGTTTGAATAAAGCTAGGGGGTTAAGGGGGAGTATGGAACAACAGTCAGGTCGCATTATTGACAGTCATGGTATGCATATATAATAAATACGCGGTCACTCATACCAAAATCTTGCAATCAGTTTCCTTGAGTATTCTGCTTTTGCAGGTAAACGCATTATGATGGGCACCACCACATTAAAGTCAAAAACCACCAAAACAACTACTTCTAAACTACAATTGGCTATTACAATTACAGCCGTATATGCATGGCTGGGCCATGCACTGCAGGGTACCTTCTTTTCTAAGGGCACTTCTTAAGATGATCTCTTTAAGCATGTTATCCAGATCATCTGGAGGTCGCTGAATAATGCTTTCGTTGTCGAACATCTTAGCACGCAAAAAAAAAGCTACTTCCCTCTATATCTGGGTATCTGCTCGGACATTGTGCGTACGCGCCTTCGCAATCCGCGTGCACACATTTAATCCGGTGAAAATGTTGCTAGCCGTTGCAGTCGTTCGATTCGTACTCACGTTCGTTCTTAATGATCAATTCTCAGCGGCCGCGGTGTAACACCTCGTCAGTTGAAGCAAGTCCTTAGTAAATACCTGAAACATGCACATCCGTGCATTTGTGGTCTCTGCAGTATTGTTGTCTGTCCCGTTTGGTCAGCCCGAGTTATCTTTCGATGTATAAATCCTTTTCCCTGTGCATATCTTCTACACTAGAGCTGTGTCATAGCCTCACCTCCATTTCCAGATGTTAAGCATCTCTTTTCCGAGCAAACACGTTCTACACGTTAATCAGATTGAAGCCAGATTAACTCTGAAAGTCTAGTGCGAAAAACATTAGGAATCGTACGCTTGATCTGTTATTCGAGCGACACGCTTAACATTTACGTTAACAAGCTTAGTCATACGGTAGTATTGCTAAACGTGTTGTACGTGTAACACCCACGAATTATAAAAAGGCTAACAGAAACCTTTGATAGCCCAGGTAGGCATAAGTACTGCGACCTTACTCAGTTTCTTTAGAAAGAGGTCGCTGGCTAATTACCCGGTGTCCTCGTATACTGCCTACAGAAGGCTAACTGTTTCTTTAAATACCCCCACGTGTTGATAGGACTTGTACCTACAACAAATAGCCTATATAATTCCGAAGACAAACATATTTGACTAGAGGTGACCAAGCGGAAGCGAGCTGAGACGTTCGATGGTTGCTAATTGTTTTATAAGCTTTCCTTAATGATGCGATGACTGATTCAATGTACTAGGAAAAGGTAGGCGAACCACTATATGATATTGGTGGAATAGGTTAGCGGTGGTCGCAAAGGCGAATCGGCCCTTTCACGAATACGCCCTTCAATGGCTACCCTCCACCAACAACAGCGATGCTACACGTACTGTTAAGGACCCTTCTATGTAGATCGGAGTGAACAGCTTGTCATTAGCACTATTACCCTTCAGGGCTCTAACTGCTTTTTTGTTGAACTTACTAATAGGGATTGAATACACAGACGAAATCGTGCTGGCTTTTTGCACTGTTTTGTGAAATGTGTACGTGATCGTTCTTATTCTATAGATAACGTTGGATATATCGCGGTACCATGCGACTTTTACTTCTGTTTGTGGTAATATGTACATCTATTGGTAAGTCTGCTAGGACTAGGTGTGTACTCCACACGCAATACCCCCCAGTTTCATTCCGACTCGTAGGAGTTGTTATTCGGACGCAATGACGAATTTGAAAACCGGAATGATTCACCGGAGTCACCGATAATAGATTGGTACACGTTTTTAATTTCCATAATAGTATAGGACACTGGGGGTGATATCTGAATTATTGCAAAGTATTACGCACATTTTTATCGCGTGATTATTTGTATCATTGGACGTATACGGGAGGCGAGGCAGACGCGTGAGTCGTCATGCTTCAAGACCTTTGACGCTTCGTGGATCTAATTCTGACTGAGGAAATCCTTTACATTTCAAAGCAATGGAAGAACTGCCGAAGACGCTCGAATCAACAAATTCAAGCACATGCCATCGTGAAGCTAGAGCAGCTTTGTTTACAACTATAAATTCACGCACTCGCACATCAACGCGTCGACCACGAGGTTAGCAGTAGCACACATGAATAGCCTCTGCTAAAAACACCCGTTCTTTTCTTTAACCTAGATCAGCACAAACAAAGGCCATTTTTTCTGTCGACGTTGTTAATGAGGCCGACCACACCGATATCCACCTGTCCTAATGGGATCGGCGTTTTTCAGTTTATCTGTTTCACGGGTAACAGACTGAACAACTTAGTCGAAGACAAACCAATCATAGTCATGGAGCTGGCGTAGGTCATTTCTATTGAAATGAAGACTAAACACAGAAGTTATAAGACAGGGAACTTACGATTATTTCAAATTCTTCTCAATGGCAGGAAAAGAGAGAAAAAAGAGAGTATCTCCTTAATTATTCAGCTATCCAGTTTAGGCAATTGACACTCACGTTGTTGCGTATAATTTTAAGATAAGAAAACTTAAGATGAGAGAAAAAAAAAGATAAATAAAAAAAACACAATAGAGCTTTCTTTTCATGCGTCATCAAGCACACCGAAGAAGGTCTGTTCGCTATAATGTTATGGCCCTTCCGATATAAACCTTTGGTATTTTATTCTTTGGATTTGGGTGGAAAGACCACAAATAGAATTGACTTTCCTGCTTTCTGTGTGTGTTTGCTGAGTTGCCCCCACCTGACCAACAAGCTCTTTTTATTCACCATAAATTGTAGTCATCTAAGTTTTGTTCGAAAAATCTGGAAAATTACATTTTCTTTTAACTATCATCCACGGATGAACTACCGCATCCGGTTGCCCGAACACACTATTCATTTTTACAACAATAGACATGTTTGCAAATTTAACTTTATCTGTATTTCTATCATACGAGCGAAATATGGCTCAGCTGTTTCGAAGAACACGAAGAGGTTCCAGACCACACGACGAGATGAAGATCTTAATGGTATTGTAGAATTATGCGTTCAATTGTGTACGTAGCTATTCATCCGTAATGAGGCGTCCGAACAGAATGCACATTGTATATATATATTGTAACTGTATACGCGCCCAGAGACGTACAAGTAGTATAGCTTCACGGAACGTTTTTTCACAATGACAGTAGCACAAGAATCATAAACATTGCGTGGCTTCAAGATCTACGTGCGCGTACCTCGTGCATTCTCTAGTTTTACAAGTTCAAAAACAACATCAGAGTCGGAAGGTTTAGGATACTTCAAGGCGAGGGTTGAGCAAAACGTTAAGCATTTCTCAACTGTTTTCTTTATAGGAGTGTCACGTCCTTATCGACTGTTGCCTAGGCGTCGCTTTCGCAATATAACTGCTTCGGCTAACGCAATCAACGAGCGATATTTCGGTAACAACGTCTATGATCCTCTTGCACGCCCCGTAGCAGACGACTCGAAGGTGAGGCCGAAACGTACCGTGTTGGTGTCTAACACATCGGTCAAATTAGTGAAACCATGGTAATACATTGATTCTTATATTAATTATAAAGCCTACTTATCTTTAATTATCTATAATGATGTAGATCATAAAAGTTGACTTAAAAACGATAAGAGCTAATTAAATCGTTATTTTTGCAGGCGGTGGATGTTCATTTCAAATTCCTGCTCACTGGCATTCGTTCACTGAACCCGATTACACACACACTAATTTCTACAGCCCTTCTATGCTCGGTCTGACTATACGCAACTCGATTTCAAGTATACTTTATAAGGATCTTAACGATGTTTCCAGTGGGATGGAAACCCATCAAAAGTTCCAGATAGAAAACATACATTTTACCATAGATCTAACACTACTATTTGGTTGGCAGGTAGCCTGTGTTCTCTCAGTCAGTGTTTCTTCCTAACATGAAGGGCCACTGTAATTGGAATTGCTACAGATGATACACATGATAACTTTCCTGACCGAGTACAAACCATCTTGCAAAGAATTCATTGGGAAAAACAAGCCTATTGACCTCCGCATAATCTATTCTATGGGGCTTTTCATACGTTAGCCACTGCAATACCTATTGCAATCGTTCCATTCTTAAACGGTTACATATTTGTCACTAAAAGAACCAAGCTCTTTAACTAGAAGCGCTTAATAAGTAGTAAAGTTTAAAGAACCAACTTCGGAAGAGAAAAACTCAGGTGAGCTCAATGCAGGTACAGATATTCCTCGAGCTAACCTCTAACCGTCGAAGCTTGTCGAATATCACATCCTCTGCTTTGTTTAAACATTGTACTCTATCACAACATTTTCAGTTTTGGAAGGAACCACGAATTCGCTGGCCAAAGCGCTACTATGGGAACATAAGTACAATTCGAGCTACGCCAGAAATGATTTGGACGCCAGATATTCAAGGACCAATAGGGTATGTAGTGAAGATAATTACTGAGTGGGTGCGGTTATTACGGTTTGTGGTTCAATCTAGAGAACCAACGTTACTTAACTAAAATGAAGCCTAGATGTATTCTGGATGTGGCGGGGTGTTTCCATTATAGTGCTACACATCACTTCAACCTAGAAAATGATGAAAAAACGAAGTAGTAAAAGCAAGCATCAGTTTGTTTAAAGACTCTGCCTGTACTGTGCTGTTAAACATTACGTACACGACGCTTCGATATATATAAACGTAGATAAAATAAAATTTACATAAATGTAATATCACGTATCATTGCAGGAAACGAGTATCTACCGCTTGATTGATTTGTAAAAGAATATATTATTTATAGGGTGTCTGTGTATATGTCCAGGCTAGCAGTAAATGTATTGCAATAACGTATAGCCAGTAAGAGGCTTAGAGACATCTATTTTTGAGATCGTATTTTATATGTGTCAAATGCAGGTCTCAGAATCTTGTTGGTTACGACCCTTATACGAAAGCAGTCATTTATCTAGTGGCCATAAATATGAACCTCTCAAAAATGAGCATCCCATACAGGCCCTCATGTATAAGGGCAACCTTGTCAAAACTAAATAAATAAACAGATGACTAAATGATGCAGCCGCTCCAACGAAGTACAAACGAAGAGCTTCAACTCGCTAATTAACCATCAAGGAAACGCGTCGCGCTGTGTTTTTGCTGAATTACGGTAAGCATCTATGAGAACCTACAGTTATTAGATGTTGGACAAATAACGGATAGTGGATATGAACGGGAATATAAAAAAGCAACAGGCAATGATGTGCAGATACAATAATTTAGTAATTCAACAAAGATCATTTATCTTCGTTGCTCGGAAAATAGGAGTTAGAAACAAGAAAAACATCTACTTTTCAACTCATCGTCTCTCCGATGACTTCAACTGTGAACGTCCAACCCTTTTAAGCCAATTTTTTTTCTGAGTCGTTGATTCTGCCAGTTTGTTACTTCGGCACACATTAAAAATTCATGCTAAAGGACACTTGACAATCAGCTTCAGAATCTACTAATATTCTGAATAAACAACTGAGATAGATAAAACTAGGGTCTTGCATCTATTTATGATTATTGCAGGTCACTGTGCCGTTTAGATTTGGCTTCATTTCCTTACGACGAGCAGATATGCCGAATTATTTTACGCCCTCATGGACTTTCGGCAAGGGTGTGTAGCGGCATAAAAAATTCATTGCCCTGGTGTATTTAATAAAATCTAGCCATTTTTACCAAAAATAAGGACATTCTATGCTATTCGTAGCTCTTTAGTATAAGCGGTATCTATGGCGTGTTTTAAAATGTATCAAAATCATACTTTTAGGAAGTGATATAATTTCTAGGAGAAAGCATTTTCCTGAGCGGCATTATTTTGCCGTTTTTAGTTGAAATTTGTGAAAAAGGCCAAAATATTGCGGGAATATAAGTTGGTAAAGGGGAACCGGCTTCGTCATTCAAAATATATTTTTTCAGTCAGTTTTTTTTTCGTATTAATATCAGGGTCAAGAAAAAGCCTTGTCTTTTTTAAACGTAGCTACATCGGTCTGCCTCATTAATTGACCGTAACTACAGAATGTTTGGAAGGGTGGCTAGTGCCTTCTAGGTTCCAAAGGGGTTTTGTGAAGCTGCTAAGCCCGTCCGACAGGGCCAGGATTTATCTTTCATGCCTCAAGTCACATGATTAAACATATCTAATAGGAATGAAGATTTCACGCTTATTATTTCTACTTTATAATGAAATTACTTAATACATCTTCGCTATGATCTGTAATATACTATGCTCTCTACACAATCAAGTGTCTCGGGATCGATGAGTAGAGTTTATATTTACTGTTAATTTACAGTTCCCGTGACATACCTGCCTGTTAATGCTGGGAATCTTGATGCGATCTTGATTCGAATAGACACGCTGTTTCGTGCTGAGAGCCAGCCGTCTGATGCAATGGTTAACGGCGGTGCCGGACGTAAAACTAGAAACAATTAGGTCTCAATAAAGTATTTATAAAAATTATCAATAATCATGTTTTTTGCCAAAAACTATTTCAGTGGAAAATAGAAATTAATGAAAGTCTCGGGACGTTTTGCGGATGAGATCCTTAACTTTTCCTTTAAAAAAAAAACGAGCCTGTCAGCTTATGACCTTGCAGTGGTAGCCAAGTGACGCCCTTGTCCCACTCCTCCACGTTAATCGAATAATTCCCAGATTTTATGTTCAAATAAAAACGCACAACAACGCTGAAATATACTGAATCAGCTAGGACCACGTTTTGTACCTTCGTCAGTATTTCATAACCGAAGCTTCGCAAAAAATAATTTTAGAAGAACCAAATGTTTTAAAACTTCTGCCACTTTTTCGACCGTATCAAGCATGTGGTATACTTATCAACCGCTGTTTCGAACACTTGATAATATTATAAGAAAAAAAAAAAATAGTCTAAGGAGAAATATCTTCAAGCTTAAATTTTGTGGGGATATCGAATTGTGACGAAGAAATTCTGCATTTGAACTCTCCGTTACTAAATGTTTTTTCAGATTTAACGCTACACGTAGACACTCTTAGGTCTCCGAGTCCAACAGAAATTAATCTTAATTAATTTTTAAAATCAAAAAAAAAAGTTTGGGAATTCGAAATATTCGTTATTCTGTGACTCGAACGATTCCTTCATTATTTCAAGTGAGACTGTAGCTTTAACACTATACTATACATCGCTAGGTGAAATATAAGTTACTTTCTAGCTTTCTTTTATTACAAATTTCGGCAAAAGATGCTTTGTTTGATGAACGTACACATTTATTTGAATTTTTCAACACTGTGCATAATTTAGTAGTTCAGAACTACGTTATCCTTAACTTGATGAGCATACATCGATGAAAATAGCTATTCAATAAATAATAAATTTTACTTCATCTAAGCATTGTATCGGATCGTGTGTTTCACACCCGTCAACTTCTATCGCTGCGGCAGGAACGCCCAGTCTACGATGCCTAATAATTATATTTGGCTACGGCTCTTGTATGGCCATCCGTTAATAGATAATGATCGATTTCAGCTGGTAAATTTGGTCATGAACAATGTCTCCGAGAGTCACCCTGTGCAATACGGCGAATGGATCGTGCATGCCATAAAGGTGAGTCGGTGAACAGAAAGGTTAGTGAAGATTATATATTCTACTTTTCAGAATACAAATGATCGGGCCATGAAGACCTATTTCTTTAGCTTTTTATCAAAACACTCGAAAAGAGTGTGTCTGGTCGTGGAAGTGTTAAGCGAACGTTGCTCGTTGAAGCCTTACCTCATTTAGAGGATTTAAGGTTCGATGCACGATGGGAGCTAAGCACACATTAACTGAAAGGATGTAGATAAATATCAGTATTTAGTAGATGGCCTTCGCCTCATACAAAACATGGGCCTTATATAGTGTACATTGTAGCTAATTAAAGCTAGAAAGAGGAACATTTGTAATAGTTCATATGTAAAGTTAATTCAGACTAGTAATAACTCAAAGAACAAGAAACGACTATACAGATTAAGTCGGAATACGATCAGTCGTAAAAAAATGAAAGTTCAAAGAAGATTAAAAAAGCAGGACGAGAAAAAAAATGTAGAAAAACCTCTGGAAAAATGATCTGGTTGAACTATAAAAAAAATAGAGCCCCAACACATCTGAAAAGAACAATGAAGAAGCATCTATCCTAAAGTTGAATTTCTATTCAAAAGGTCAAAGCAACAAAAATATTTCATTTACAGGCGTACACTCACTTTAACAACTATGGCCCTATAGAGCTTGGCACAGGTGTCATCGAAATGCGTTTAAAACGGACTTCCGCTCATTATAGGTATTTATGAACTAGGCAATTACAGATTTACATAATTATTTGCTGGGAGTTCGATTTTACTGAGAATGCGTAGTTTGTAAACTTCTACTTAGGACATTCAGTGAGGTCAAGGCCTATAATAAATACTAAAGGTGAGCGTGGACGGGCTATATCTAGACGAAATTGGTCATATCAAGTAGACTCTTCAGGGGGTACTCTTCAATAAATGTCCCATTAATACTTTGTGGATTGAAAACGAATACGTAAGATGTCATGCCTTCTGCTTGCTACTTACCTCTTGACAGGTGGTCGGTATGTATACCGACAGCATCTCTCCTTTTGATAGCATTGGTATGTTCATGGATACCTCGACGGCAGATTCGAACGCGTCAGGAACTGCTTTCGGGTTTACTTCTATCTAACGTTCTCCTGCTACGGCACACTACAGTATTGGTAGAGGGTGCTCAGAAGCTACCAAATATCCGTGAGTACCAATTAAAAACGACTGCTTTTGTTTCTAACTAGCTTAATCTTGTTGAGAAGGACAGAGGATTATGTACACTGTTTAATTGTCTCACATTCTTATTTGTAGTGGTTTTGCAGAACTTCTGCCTGGGACTGGTTACTGTTAATATTGTAAGCACCTCAATACTTCAGGGGTGCCCCTCACCGACACGCGGTGGCCGAATCAAAGGACACGAAACATTTGGAGTTGCCATCGGTAAACTGGACGTGTTCGGCTACCCAACAGTAGGAGCGTTACTTATCCTATGGACGCTTTTCGTGGCCTAGCAATAAGCTTTTCCCCAATAGAGCCGCTTGTTAGACTCTCATTGTCACAGTGAGACCGACGAAGGTACGACAAAGGCGATGGAGCTTTAGACGATCTAGGTTCGTGAAAACGACGACAATTGTATTTCAACACGTTTTTATAGGTTCTTTAATGGTTGGTTAAAATATTTCCTCATGTTACTTTTATTTGGCTTACTTGTAGGCTCATTAGCCAATGTCGTTGTTGCAAATTACGTTGCTTCCTCTAAGTAAATGCGCTAATAAATGCAAAGATTTAAATGAATACAGCCAAGTCAGTTTGTAGAGCAAGCTTAACAAATGACTAGAGATAAATGGGATTTCCTAGAGTATCAGCCGTGTGGCAGGCGCTACCTCTCGTATAATGTAAGTAACTATAGCTATAGTAACTATTGAGTACGAATCAACCCAAAATATTCTATTCACGATGCCTAAAATAATAATAATATACCAAAGAAGTTGCCCGGGGCGATACTCCTGCAACAAAACAGCAGCGCCAGATTGATGAAACCACAGATGTAGGTGAATCGAATTATTCGAAAAACTTCGTTTCTTTAAAGAAAAAAACTTGTATAATTAAAAATAAAACATCGTGAAAGCAATGCGAGATAATAAAATTTTCTAAACGAGATGTAAACAAAGTAAGCAGATCGAAAGCTGTAACCGAAAGGTGCAAGCGGAGGTTGGACCGCGCGTAAACATGTTCGAACCTGTTCTGTAATCAAGTGCGAAAACTATCGGAACGACTGGAATAAATAGGTGGCGCTAGAGTTAAATGAGCTCTTATATCAACATCGTTACCGCAAATTCGTTACGAATCTGTACCACGAAAAAAAATCAGCGTAAGTCATAATGCAATGTAAACGATCAGTATATTTGTTTATTTCTAATCCTCTTACCCAGCTTTCTGCATTTGTCATTTTTACCATTAATTCTCTCTCGGTAAATCATAGTGTAGCTCATTTTATTTTCTGCACAATCACACATCGCTTACGCACGTTTCAGTTGCATCAAAAACGCGTATAATGTAATATATATATATATATATATATATATATATATATAAAGCAACATAAGCCCTACAATATAGCCTTACCAATATTATATCTATATAATTTATATAATTATACGCTATGTGCATAATATTTTGTGTATTGTATATTGTGTATAATAAGTAGGTTTTTGGTATATTCTGCCACAAGTGTCTGTTCATCACTTTCTCATTTCTTGTAACCTCTTTAGCTTGTTCACTTATGCACTAATTAAACGTTCCTGCTATTGTATCAGCTAATAGTTTCAAGCGACCATTCGATAAATATTCCTTCATTTATCTTCTATAAATAATGCTATATGCATCCACCGGCTATACGAGTTTGCCAGTTTTCTGTTTCGCATGTTTTCCTTCACCTTGCTTTCCCTCTGAAACAATAACGGTTAACTCCCAGCGCGAAACAAAGTGTGTCCACGTCCGGATTTGAACCTATGCTACCACGTGTCCTCAAGTTTAGCGGGAAAGCACGTTATCCACTACGGTATTAGAGAGATGACCCTACTCGTGCACTCGATTTCGCATCTGCATATTGGGTTATTTCAGCGTTACGTCAAATCGAGCCCTTTGTCGCAGTTTACGAAGAACCTTGTTCGTTGAAGCTAAACAGATTCGTCCTTGACTCGTGTCTCGTGACCATGGTTATTTTGTCATAGCAAGGCGGATACATACATGTACTTACTGGTTTATATTTATATAGCGGCTGTGTTTCTATACGTGTAGATCAATTGACGCAACTGCCCTCGCTGATGTCCAGTAGCATAGACTATTACAAACAGTGTGAAAAACATTGCTTTTAGTATTTTCATATCATGAAAGCCAAAGGGAGAAGGCCCCGGATTTGCTTCTAATGGACAATCGATTAATGAATTTCGTTGTTAGTTTTTGCCACTGTTTTGCCCCTGATACCCCAACATACAGCACGTTCCGCATGCTTTTGTCTTTCCATCTTGCTTCTCTATAGTTGATGTGATCCTAGGTTCAACATTCGCTGGTCTCAAGTGCTCGATGTAAACCGCTACACGCAATCTTGCAGTAAATTTTGGTCAGCATAGGATATTTTCTTCTGACTAGACTAACTAGACGACTAGATTCAATTAAATAACTTGAATTTTTAATTTCTATTAGACCAACGCAGATAGACTCTTCTCGGTTTAATGGCGAGGTGTCATTTACGTCGGTACAAAAAGCTTACAAAAACTTATTAACAAAAACTGTAAAAAGTAACAAAAAATTGTACTTAAATAAGCTCTTAAAAAATAAAGTCCAACTCTCTTTCGAATTCTGAAGCCACCAGTGCCCTGAGAGATGCAACGAAAAGTAAAATCTGGTTGTCGATGGTGTTCATTGATTTTTATAACTCATATGTGAAGATTGTTTTAAGAGAACTGAACATCAATCCGTAAAATGACTTTGCAAAAAAGTATTTAGTTAGGGATAAACAATATCAAATTCGACGCCATGATGGGGAACTTTAAGGTGACCATTGACCTATAGGCGACAGGTTGTCTCCATCTCCGAGTGTTTTCCTGTCTGTCCTTCGTTGTTCCTACACCATTGCAAATTATTCTTAGCATTGTTTCATTGATTGACACGTAATAACTGGTACACGTTACACTAGCTTTAGTTGCCCCGTTCACTTCAAACAAATACATATTGAGATAAAGGCCACAAATCATCAAGATTGTTATCGCATCGTTTTAAAACGACCTGCATAATATGCATCGCGCTTGAATCCTGGTGCGTTTAAGCTGCGAGCACCTGATTAGCATTACGCCTATGAGAATACCATGAATGTGTTTCAGAACATTTATACGGATGCTACGACACACCTTGTGGCCTCAAACAATAGGACCAAGGTTGTGCACCTGTTGCGCATTCCCTTGGCGAAATAGAGTAAATGCCTTTGGTCAAAGGCGTCTAAGGCTGTGATGTGGCTGGCAGTGAGGCTAATCACTCCGTAATGATAATAATAATATTATTTTGATATACAAAAAAATGTAAACATTCTTTTAATTTATGCCTTATCAGCAATAATCATAATAATTATCCTTGTTTGTTCACCACTGTAGTCCATCACTATTCACCTACAGTTTTCGTCTTTGTCGGAATCTTGTTTGGCTTCGCTTTGTCCTGCAACTTTTTTGCAGGACGAAATTATCTCTGACCGAGAATAGCCGGGCTCCTTCATACAAAAAGACGTTACATGATTGAGAAGCTACGGAACTACGGAGATAAGATCGATAAACATCAATTTGACAGTTCGAGGCTCTGGATAGAAGCTTGAGGCATAGAGGAATACACGAATACAAGCGGGGAGGTTACCAACACTAAGAACATTTCAGTTATCGAGGCGATAATTTACACACGACATCTATACTGCGATTATGGAGGGCTGCACTCGAAGAGGGTAACCCAACATTTTTCAAGTACATAGCAATCAGAAGGACTCTTAAGGGGGAACGAATCATGAATGTCGAGTATCGATATTCAATACGTATAAGGAATAACAAACATGCCAATTATCACTGGAAAGTGATTAGAAAATTGTGGGCCATGCTATCGTTAAAACGACCTACGGTGTCTCACAGATGCAATCGCTGCATTAATCATAGTAGCTATGTGAACTTTAATTCTAATGCAAATCAAGGGAAACTTCTATAAAATACAATTTCGTGCAAATATGCAACACGAATATTGCTACACGGACGTGTTGATGCTAGCATTATCGATTGGCTGGCGTGCTTCTCGAAAACTAATGAGTCGATCTCTTCCAGTGTGAATCTTACGGCCAACCTTAGCTGAGCTGCACAGTTACCCTGCAGATGGTCGTTGGCCACTTCGCAAAATTGGTCGGGCTTGTCAGCAAGCGCAATACACGCCATGAGATAATTCTGCCGAGCGAATGATCTCCTTAGGAGGGTATTTAAGTGTCGAATTATACTACAATCGTTAAAAGGTAAAGCTTCTCATTGACGAGATAGATTTACAGGAATGAAATAGCTAGTTGAGAGTGGTCAGGGACAGGATGGCCATGTAAGACAATGTAAAACTTCTTACTGGTAGGTTGAATGTCATCTTGTACGCAAGCAACTAACTTAAATGATACGGTAAAGCGCCGACATCTCTAGCAAGTTGCTGGATTCCTGAGATAAAGTTAAGTTAGCTAAACTTGACAACTTCACATATATTGCTATACGAAATCACATCTCTCAAACGATGAAACGGTGTATCTGATACCGCGTGTAATGGCTGACGACAACAACTACAAGAAGCTATGCCGCTTGCTTACTGGTTTCGCTGGAACCCTGAAAACCTTTGGCGGCCGTTGATTGCGCTACTCCAAATGACCAGGAAATTCTTACGGACACTGCTAAACATCACGAATAGGTGATGATTATACGTAGTTTTCACTTCGTTTCATACTTTCCCGTCTCTCATCCATGAGATGGGTCGATGTATAAGGGGTGCGTTGGGTTGATTTTAGCTTTCGTTGATGTCGTGGCTTTGTGGTTTTCTACCATTCTATTGCCAATTGTTTCGACGTTTTTTTCTTTCGTATTCATCTACTGTATGACGATGGTGCGCTTGTGAGGCACTTGTGCGTGTTCGCGCTTAACGCGACTATTTGGCGCCCGGAATCTTGGTCAGGATCTGCAATGAAAAAACGGAGAGGCAAAACAAACCGGAGTTATGTGTCAACAGTCAGGGCAAGTACAGGTGAGAGACTAAGGGGGATGAACTGATTTAATGTCGCATTTATGTAGGCTTGTGAAAAAGTTCATATATTGCCACCAATAGTAAGCGGGTGAGCTTCAGACTAGGTTCTACACGTAATTAAATTCCGATTGGTCCAAAAATCCAAAAAAATTAAGTAGCTAGTTGCAAATGTAGAACATCGAGAGTGATGAAACGTGAGTCTAACGTAAACCGCATAATAGAAGTACGTAATCACTAGTAGGCGATGTGTGAAAGAAGGTCAAACGTCTAATAAAATAGGCGCACAACAACAATTTATGTATCTGTGACTCATGATTAAGCAATCAACTGAACAACCAAAAAGGCCATTTTGACGTCGGCGCTGAAAATAATCCGTCTCGCGGAACTGGCCCAAGGTACCGTACATTGCAAAGCCCCAACACAGCGGATTTCAACGTAGTGGCTTTCCGAGTTCTCATAGTTGATCGGTTACATTTCAGTAAACTGCGACCGCAATGCGTCTTCGACCGTATTGCCTGTATTATTCGTACGTTACCCAAAACATATCGGCTTGTAACATCGTATTTCGACTCAAGTGTACTACTTCTAATTCCGTACAGCATCTAGACGAACGGTCAAATAAGATTGTCATGTCCGCTACCTAAATAAATAGAAATGTACGAAGAACCGTCATCCAGCTCAAGTTTAAACAATAATAGCAAAAATCATAATAAAGTATGTTCAGAAAGCACTCTGTTTAGTGGTCACTGTCTGTTGTCATGTGTAAGTAATACTGTATACTTACAGTAAGAAAAAGCAAATAGCAGAAACTATAACTTGTTCGCTTGCGAAATATCAATTATCTATTACAAATGAAGGTACTCTTGATTTCACAGATGTTCAGATATTTCAGAAAAGCCCCAAAAGCACATTCAGTTATGTTTCAGTCTCTCATTCGTACGGTAATGTAATGAATGCTATGCAATCAATCATAGCAGACGAACTACATGAAAGAGTTAAGATTAATTTTATATTTGACAACGTGACAACACAGTTTTGTTGACGACTCTGAAGTTTGGCTTCTCCATAAAAATCTCAAAAGAAAGTCGCCAGGAAGGGCCACATTCTCGAACCGGATGTCATAAGCCATGCTAGAATAGAGTAGCCCATCGCAGAACATTCCAGGTACAAATATCTTCAGTCACTGACCGTGTACTGCTGCGTAAGGAAGCGTATTTTAGATAGTAGGGCAGCGTCCTCACGATCCTGCTTTGTGGTTTGGCTTTCCCACAAAGGGAACTTCTTAAATTGCCGCAACAAAAAGACGCTCACTACCATCGTCACCTCGTCACGCGATCTGCGTCCAGACTGGCAGCGTATTTTAATTTTCTGCAAATTTTTACCGCTTATCGTACTACGAACGGTATTCTAGAAAGCATATTGCATAATTTTTTTACATCTGGCAATTGCCAATTATTGCAGTTGACGCCGATTTAATTCACCGTCTTATTCGACTACTCTGCACAAAAATGCGAAATCAAAACAAAGTAGAACATATTACATCATCAGTAGTGATTATTGTTCTTTTTTAAAAGAGTTGCCAACGGGCCATTAACAGGGGCGAACGAAGGACCGCAATCTTCGCAGCGCTCGTCACAAGATCAATGGCAGCAAACCAATCGAGACGCAAGGTTTAAAAACAATTCAATAGACAATGCTCTAGTCACTGAGCAATTAGTTGTCACGATAAGCGAAACGAGATTGGCCTTTGAACGCGCCTCCGGCCCCGTTTGCCTAGAATAACAGATTTCAATCAATAGTAAACTCCTTTTTGTGACAAATCATGAGCATTACACAAACGTGACGAAAAAAATTGTAACGCGAGTATTAGTCTTAAGGTAACTAAAATTTTTTGTAGTCTGATAGAGGCAGTGAAATAAGCTAACGATAGCAAATGGTAAAAATTAAGCGAGTCCCAGTAGAGTGGGTTGAGAAGAAAATACAAAATTTATGTGCGATTTTTTTAAGATTTCTGCCGTGGCTCTCTCCAACGGTTTATACTGCGTTGTATTTTTTTTTATCTCCTGTCCACTTGATTATGCACCAATTTTTTGTTTTCAATTTTTCGCCCCAGAATATGGACCTGTCAAAATGTATGCCTGCCTAAAGCTGCAGCACTTAGCCCAGTCTCTGCTGGCTGAAAGTCCAGTACAGACGAAGTCACTTTACCGATTGGAGCCCCTAACGCCAACCTCTCAACTACCTAGAAATGCAGATACATGTTGAAAAACCGATAAATCAACATAACTCCACAAAAAGAGATCAGCTGGACGGGATAAGGCGGAGCGTTGATTCAGACAAACTTTAAATAGAATATGATAAAGTTCACGTTGTCATCAACTGCATTATGTACGACCCATAAGCCCTCACTGCTAAAAAATGCTGTGGCTGGTGTATATCGCCTTTTCCCGCAAAACTCTTGACCTCTGCACCTGACTGTGAGCGCTTCTCTTTATTTACCTTGGATATGTCGATACCGGTAAGCGCTTGAACGGTAGGCGGTAGTTGCGAGCATAATTTTGCGACCTCCTGCGACGTGCGATCGTCCCCACCGAGCAGTATGATTTCGTCCGTCTTAGCGAGTGGCGCCGCCACCTGTGCAGCCACAGAGCAAATGCAACAGTAAAATAAGACGCATACGCGTGCCGATTACAATATATGATTTATATTGTAATTTTACATTTTCACTTTTTCAAATGCTCTCTACTGCTGAAATTTTTTAACGTTTGCGTGAACGAGTTTGAACTTTTCAGCGAAAGCCCTATCAGGAACGAAGTAGCAGAAGGGAAACGGAAAATCAAACTGACCTCCGCTGCGAGTTTCGGTAATGTATCCAAAACCAGCGAGAGAACGGCTGCTTCGTCGTACTGTTTGTACGCGGCGGCCCGAAGTCGCATCCGCTCTGCATCGGCTTTACCTACGGCTTCGATGGCGTACGCTTCCGCAGCACCAGTCATCTTGATCTTCTCGGCCTCCGCACGAGCGCTTTCTACCGTCTGCGTCCTTGAGAAAAAAAAACGGATTTGAGCCAGCATTAATAAAAACCAAACAAAACATGCAGATATGATAGCCTTTCTCTTTAAAGCGCGATTATAAACATTGACGTCAGAGAAACGGAACATTTAGTTTTTTAAATATATTTGGTACGTCATTTAGCTACGAAGGCCATCAATGGAAAAAACAAGAAATTAAGTTAACTCCAATAAAGGTTTATGTTCCGTATGATACTTACCACGAGAGTTCCACCCATCTCTTATTTATTTCATTGGTTCTAGGTATAAATGTCCTGATATTGCCTATTTTGTTCAAACCTTTTTCCCTGAGCAATCATCTCCAAGCGGTAGGCTTCCGCTTCAGCGGGCAATCTAATCGTCGCCGTTAATTCCTTTTCTCGCCGAAGTATCTCTTTTTCCTCGACGGCTATATCCTTTCGCCTTTCGACAACGTCGATTTCCATCTCTTCGCCGCGGATCTTCTGGGCCAATTTTGCCGCCTGTAGTTCGTACGCCAAGGCAGCTTCTGCTTGCTGCTTGCCGTAACAATGCAACACAATAAATAGTTGAGTTTGGTGATATAAAGACCACGTCGGATCCTAAATAGCTTGTCATACGTGTAGTGGTTACGTCACTCAAAGAAAGGATGTTGATGTACATCCTATTGAATCACTGAGTGGTACTATTTTATTGTACTTTCTAGGTTTTCGGCTCGATTCTCATACAGACTCATAGGGCAAGCCACTGCATGTTGAATTTTCTATTCGGATAATTAACACATACCCTTGTATTAACCTCAGCGTCGAACTGAGCTTTTTGCAATTGAAACATTCGATGTGAGTCTTCGATCTTCGTGTTTGCGCCGTATTTGACATCCATCGCAGACTTATCACACTCTGCTTCGCGGATGCCCGCATCTCTTTCCGCCTGCGCTACACCAATATCTGCATCTCTCTTAACGGCCGCCGTCCTAGCCTTCCCCAGGGATGTCAGGTACTCGACTTGGTCGAAAACATCCTTGATAGTGAAGGATAGGATTTCTATGCCCATTCGGCCAATGTCCGGTGCTGCTACCTCACGGACAAGCGAAGCAAATTGATCTCGATCGCGATAAACCTCTTCGACCGTCAGCGTACCTAGAATGGCACGAAGATGGCCTTCAAGCGTTTGCAAGATGACAGCTTTTACATGTTCGATATCTTTGCCGAGGAACTGTTCGGCTGCAGTTGACAAGAATTCTTGCTCTGTCATAACCTAGAAACAACACATTTTCAGACACAAATGATATCAATAGAAAGTCAAACCCTTGCTATCGGCGAAGAATCTTAGTTTGCAAGTTACCTCGTTACGATAACGTCCATGATATGGTAACTCGTAAGATATATAAAGCAATTAGTAATATATTTGTTTAAATTCAACAAAGTTATTATATTACTTATTTGCATAAGTACCTGTCTTGGGGGCGAAAACACAAACCTTGCATTGGGCTACCCCGGTGACTGTAAGAGGCACTCCCTGCGCCGTCTCGACGTGCTCACAGCGAGGCTTCAGAGTCATCACCTGAACGTTTTCAAGAAAAAGAGTTTGCACAGAATATATTTTTTTAGGAAAGAAAGGAGAAATCCGGCTTATTAAAATAACAGCAAGATATAAAATCGTCCTACATTAAGTATTTGTAGTGTACACGTTTTTGCTTGGCACTCGAGGGTGCGTTGTTTAATATTTAGGAAGACTGTATTGTTATTCATTAGGGTCAGTTGTTGTTTGTGCAAAGTTATTACAATCCCTTAGAAACCTAGTCAATAAATGCCGTTATTCTCTAATGAGTAGCATACAATTTGTCGTGCGCTCACAGTTTAAAGCTTTGGAAATGCTAGTAAAAGCTCACTACGGATAGCCTTAACTATTAAATGAAACAAACAGCAAAAAAATAGAATGGAAAGTGGGTTGAAGTATTCGTTTGGTGTTACAATATGTTTTCTTTGTCTACTCATAATTTACACAGACTCAGGGGTGGCCTCCATGCCGAAATAATTTAAATATTCATATTATCACGCAATGGGCAATGCAAAATCCTGTGACGAGTTAGTATAAATTATTCCGGTTTGGTAATACGCAGACATGATTATAACTACAGAAAGAAACAGGGCGCTACTTAAGCAGCAAGTATAGCTAAGATAAGAATTTATTCATCTAACCCTGATCAGAGTTCGAAGTTCGTAAACACAGGGAAACATCATGAATGCCCAACGTATTACGCTATAACGTCTTCCTGATGGATGTGTCTCACTACTTGATACACTTGGTGTATATGTCTCACTTATTCGCCAGAACTCATCCTTGGGCCCCGCACAATCAAATTCAGAAATCATTTCAGCCGTCGTATGCTACCATAAGCGATTTACATTTATACACCTGACCCGTTTCGACAGGGACCATTCGATCATCGCCTATTGACTCAACAATGACAAGTTCTTAAAACACAAATCCCCGATGTTAATATTACTTTTTAAATTCTTAAAATACTTAGTATTAATAATAGTAAATAATAGCATTAGGTACCTACCTCAAGGCTAAGCCGCTGAACATCTGTGACAAGCCACCAGGCCCATGCCCAGCCACCAACAACCATTTTCTTTGCGCTGTTGCCACAACATCCCCCTGCAAACAAAAACGAGTTCGATCTAAATTCCTCATAAACAATAGAACGACTATTACATATAGAATCTTTGTGTGCATCTACCATGTACCAGAAATATTTAAGGTTACTAATGTACTCTCAATGAGCAAATGTTAGGTGGTCTTCTAATAGTATAGCACCGTGTACATTATCGAATTATGATAGATAGTGTTACGTCTCTACACATATCATTCATTGATATTAAATCAAACATTTACGTGCAAAAATACTGAACAAATTTTCGTTACTTGCAGAAAACTCAATAAGTTTTGCTAACCCCGTACTCTCTACGATGAAGAGATGACACACATTTATCACCAAATTTGGTACGCGTTGATTAACAAGCTACATTAACTTCGTATAATTCTGCCATAATCCCATTGTTACGTCTACTGTGGACGTCTCCCTGTGCACTCTTTAGGATCGAGCCATTTTCCTAGCAGTTATTTACGCTCTGTAGATCGCACTTGTAACCTTACAATAATACATAATAGAACTGTTCATCTAATATAGCAAAGCCGTCATATGCTACAAGCAGAACAGAATAAAAAATTTAGCCGATGAAACTTAGCCTGCCGCCTTAGTACAAATAACAACAAAGGCTTGTGCTGTCTGTTGACCCTTCATCGCTGGCATCGCCGTTGAGATCATTTGAGTTCTTGTACCCATCGAAAGTATTCCCTATTAGACTACCAGCTTGTACTGGCTGTTACTATTACGTATGTTGATATTGTTGTCGTTGCCGTCATCGTATTCGGCAATGAGTGCAAAGGGCCGATTTCAACTGGGAGCCATAATTAGTCTGTTGCGTACGCCCGTTGTCCCGAAGGGCAAGACGGTCAATTCAACAGTTAGACAGTTCTTGGTGTTCGTCACTGCGAGAAGACAGCCTTCGTAAGGCAGGTCGCCGTTTTTCTAACGCCGAGGAACGGTATTAGAAAATAACATACCATAGAGGAAAATTTGCTAATTCGACATCATTCTCAGAGAAAAGAGATATTTAATGGTGAACTGAATTTTGCATAAACACACGAAATGGAAAATTACTACCAGTATTAGTAATATCAATATTGACCCACGACAGTATATTTGAGAGGTATTAGATCATTAGGTGGTACCTAAATATCGAAGTATAGACAACTTCCACGATGTTCAAATAAATAGGCACTAAAGTTTCATGCGGACTTTAGCATGAGATACGTGAGTTTTGAACTAATTGATTATTTTATAATTTTGTTTAATGGTTTTGTGGTAAGGTTCAACTGGCCGCTACATAGCTCACACAACCCACATCGTCATTGCAATCTTTTGGCGTTGTTAGTTCGTGTTCACCTCTATGTGTTCTAATTTACAGAAAAAAATTATCCAGTTTCTATTAACACTGAGGCGTTGATTGTGCTGTTTATTCGAGACCCCAATAACTGGCAACAACTAAAGCAAACAAATGTTGCGTGCAGCAAAATACGGTCACAAAACCTGAATGAATCAGCAGCTTGCAGTCGGAAAACGGTGACTGGCATCACCTACTCTTTACGACCCAAGCACGTAATTAGTAATCCGAAAATCGTAATCCAGGCATTTTTATTTCCTTTTAAACTACGCGTTTTCATTGTAACTTTTTCGCTCACCTTTTATCACAGAAGACACAAAATCACAATTACATAATATAGGTTTGAGACAGACCAGCCAGTATCTTTTAAACCTATGAGCAAGACTTAGAGAGAAATAGGCTTTATCATAGCAATAGCAACCATAGTTCAAAAGACCTTAAAGGACGTTAGAAAAAAGTAAATCAAGCGTGCTTACCATGCCTATGCACCCGCAGCGTTCTTCGTCTGGCCCAATTTCTAGCCGTTTTATAAGGTCGTGGCCAGCCACACGTACGTTTTGTCGTACACATACACTAGGCGGTTGAATGGTTAGAAAGACAGACAATTCCATTTGAATATTTGGGTGATTCGCGAGAGCTAACACAGATAAACGATAGCCAAGAGTCAGAAATAGCTTAATACATAATAATTTACCCATTTTGCTGGCTTTACACTCAACCTGCGTAATTAAAAAAAAGCGCCTGCCACAGCACTTCTTACGTCTTTCTGCCTCTCTAAGCAGTTTTTAGTAGAACCGACACCAGCCCCGAAACAACAACAACGCTAGACCTCGAACATGGCGCACAAATAGAAGGTAATCAACAAATAACTCAAACGCAATTATTGCTTTGTTGGCTTGCTGTTGACAACAATTAGCTGGCTTAAAAAACAGAGAAGCAGTATTTATAAGGGCCCACTTAAGGTTTAATCGTAAGCAACCGCTATCTCACAGCGCAAATGTTCATGGATGTACTGAAATTAAAAAAAAACTGCCTAGAGAGGCAGAAAGACGTAAGGAGTGCTGTGGCAGGCGCTTTTTTTTAATTACGCAGGTCGAGTGTAAAGCCAGCAAAATGGGTAAATTATCATGTGTTAAGCTATTTCCGACTTTTGGCTATCGTTCATCACACAAATATTAGCTACTATTTAACAGTTTTAATTAAGCGAATCGTTCATAGTACGTTTTGCTATAGGCACCGTTAACCGCATTGAAATCTATGCATAGACAAAAACGGGGACCAATCTTCTCGAATTTTATGACTGTTCCTTATTTCTATGCAGTATAAAATGGACGAATAGGACTTTGCGGCGTTTGCTGGATTTACGGGATTTAATAATATGTTATAAAGCATTTACTGGATGGACCTCGTGAACTGAGGCGTTATGCACCCAAAGTACATAAAACTAATCACACCAAACATGTACAACATTATTTTTCTGCGTCTGCTACACTATTTCGTACCAATCTAGAAAAGAAGAAAAACACCGCTTAAGGCGGTAACAGAATACAATTAGGTCTGAGAGTCCTCGACTTGAACTAAGAGTACAACTGCTGCCGTGTGTACCCGGCACAAAGTAACTGCGGCGCTATTGGACTCATATCGGTTTGTATCAAATCGAGCAGCGCCATGCATATCTTATCGGTTAATTTATACAGTTTGTATCAATATATCGACACCTGCAATTTATGCAAGACTGAATACGGTGCTAAATTTCCTAACATACGATAGTTGCTTAGCCGGCTAAATATCCTTACTGAGCGATATTAACATGGACATGTTGACATGCTTTACGCTTCCACGCAAAGCGCCAGCATGCCAGGTCAATACCTTCGAATAAACAACACCTATTAAATATTATAGCAGATGCGATTGGCACCTGTGATTGAGTCTAATAAACTAGAAATACTCTCTGGGGGGCCGTCCTCGGTGTCATACACCTCATATATGCTACTACTTTCTTCTCCTTTTTTTTTCATTCAATTTGACACATATCAAAATGTTGCTAACTGGAACATGTTAGAATAATTATCCTATTCCGTTATTTAATCAAAACACTCAATGAGACACTTTACACTAGCAAAGCTTTTATTTCATCTATATCTGATGTTTCACTTGTCGAAAACGTCACTACTCGACCACGTAAATTTCTTGCCAACAAAGTCATACATTCAGGATAAACCCTACAAAAAGGGATAGTCCGTTGGAGGTCTCAAAACAGAAATACTGCTTACTGTACAAGAATTGTGTCCATTAGTCACCATATCATTTTTACATGGGCTTCGAATAGCAACGGTAAACCAATGGCGATATCAGCGCGGATAGCATTATGGCATGTCTTGCAATAGCTATCATAGTCGATCCCCAAAAGCATACTTCCAACGATCTCCCATTAACGCAGTTTCCACGATTCACGAGCTCATGAGCCTTGTTTCGTACGCATGCAGCGAACGGTTAAACACGACTCACATATGAAGACATTTGCCGTGTTGGGTTATTTCAGATCAGGGTAACAACGATGTCACAACCATGCCTCATTCACTGTTAAAACACTACGGGGAGTCGACTACCTTAGAGTTCCGGAATTTTAGAAATGCTCTGTTTTGTGTAGTTAAATAACGTGCAAGTGTCTTCGAGGACCCAGAACGATAACATACTCAATTTGAACGCGGTACTATATTCCTAGATTTATTTTTTATATTTATTTTTAGATTTATATTTAGAATTTGTTACTACTCTTGCGATGTAGAATATAACAGTAGCATGTTATTTCGGCGATTTTGTGAGGTAAGAAGCAAAAGTGGTCGTACGGTATCACCACAAAATATATATATTGATCCTGGATGATTATAAACGATAGACTGAAGACGTTTAAACCTTGAAAAAACGAGGCCTGTCATGGTGGGCGAATCTAGATAACAATGTAGGAGCACATACGGATTGACAAAGTCTTTATTTGGGTGGTGGCCTTCGGATAAATTTTACTCTTTACAGAGCTCCGTCTAACAAAGAAAAGCACCTGTGAACGTTCATTACGTTGGAGGGACTGAACCAGACTTTTGGTTTAATGTGTTATAACCCATTGATCATAATAATGCACAAAATTAAAAAACGGAGCCCACTTAGTGTAGTGCACATAACCAAAGCTATGATCACACACAGTGACCACAGTAAAAATCAGATCAATCATATTTTTTGACTCTTACGGCCGTTCGAAGCTAAAACGGTTGATTCCTCACTCGTCAACGTTCGCTCATAAGTTAGCTTTCCTATACTATAAACAAGACATGCCTGAATAGCTTTCGGTGTGACATGTCACATCCGAAGTGTTGTACAAGTAGGCGATAGAAGAACTTGAATGTATTCAAGAATTGAACGTACGTATTGTCAACTTAGCAGTTAATAAATAGTAACTCACGATATTAAGCTTTGAATTCAGCTATAATGTCTAACATGGGCTAGCTGAAAGAACAAATTAAGTCCATTGGCACGTTCAATCCTGATGCTATCATTGACTCCACACTTTCGTTTTCCAAACATTATATAGGAAATAATTCCTACAGCGCAGCAGAAATTATACTTCTAGTGGAGCATTTAACGCTGAGGTTTTTCCAAGAAATGCCATTGCATTTAGCAGAATAACGAACGTCTGTTGGCATTTGAAAAGCAAATTTCGAAAATAAATCATTGAGAGGAAGAAAACAATCCTGTAGAAAGCCACTAAACGCTCCTAAACGCACGATTAGGTAAGGAGTGCTTTGTATGCTCATTAATAAATCAGATGCACGCTTGTGACACCAAACACATTTATTACTCTAGCTTAGGTATTTAGATGGGTCTGGCGTGTTTGGATTATCCATCCGACCCTTTTACGGCTATGCTACTGTCTCACCCTGTGCAGCCGCTACGGCCAAATTTCCAAATTAATTTTTTCTTGCTACTGGAAACTCCATCGACATATAAAGGGCACTTTGAGGTTGAAATAAATAGTAAACAAACGGTTGTGATTATTTCGCATCTTTGAAAATCGTGAATCGACAACGGAAAATCTGTTTGCCCTTTCTTATTCTCAGGATTACTTAACCTGTTCGTACGGCAACGTTCGAATTATGCCTCTTTAGATGATTAACTAGAAATCCGTCTTGAATCATAATGTCGAGCAATCGGTATCACGTGTTTACTTACCACGCTCCGTTATTGTCCCATCAAAAACCATAATTTTTGCTCAAGCCGTGTTGAACTAATATGCATAATCCAAGAGTCATCAAGTGTATAATGAGTCATTATATCCTTGATGACTAAGCAAATTTTTTTAAAATCTTTCTGCTGCATCTTATTTTGTAACTATTGATAAATTTGTTGTCCAACGCACTAAAGGCTATTAATGGCTTAAACAGCCAATTTTCTACATGAATTTATTTAGCTCAGATCCCACAAATACAAATGTACACGCCACTACATAATCACATGGAGTAAGCCACGTTGCTAAAGTAAAAATTATACACACAATAAAATGGCACTTAATGAATGCGGTTAAGTTTACGGTATTGCTTTCAGTGCTGAATTTTATGAACTAAAAAAAAGCCTTGTTTATTAGAAAATATCAATACACTGTCTAGAAAGTTTAAAGAAGCAACTGTAAAGGGATTGGAGAACAATATATACCAGTAATCTACTCGACTTTGAACTACATAAACTCCAGGTCGACCAATAAACCCTCGAAGACTGAGATGCTTTTTCTCACTGAGTATAGTTGCTCTTATTTATCAAAGGCTTCCTGTGAAAGTAAAGGCTGGTATTGCGACAGCTAACAATTGTCATATTTCGCACGGTTCAATGTACAGAAAACCGCTGCTAGTCTGTATGCTTCTCAACCATTAAATAAACGTCAAGGTGCGCTGAGCGACCTATTTCAAATTCGCTTATGCTACATAAACCAAGTGCAACAGGCACTCGAATGAGGTGTTTCCGGTTGTGCATGTCGTACGCGGTACTGCTGAGTGGTGTACTGCTCGACGAGATTCGACACACAAGCGTGCAGATTGCTGAAGAAAACGCTCGTTGAATATTGACTTAGATCGCTCAGCACGTAGCGGCATATATCTTAGTGAAGACCTTCGATAGGACACGCGAATGGAAGCGCGGAACGACACTCCAATAACGACCTCCTGTAATGTCATCGGCGTTTTCGAACAACATCTGTTTCGACGGTCAGCGACTAAACCGTGAGCCGGATTATACGAAGAGGTAATTGAACGCGTACTTTCTTATTAAAAGAGACTCTTTCGGCGACTCGCAATCGCAAGCTCGAAAATTACTTCCGTCCTGCAAATAGCTTTCTAACCACTACGCCATAAATCGCGACGTCAACCTAATTGACTTAAAGTATACTAATTGAACTACATTTCACGTACAATATCAATTATAAACGCAGCATGTTATTACTGAACTTACAAATTGTATCTAACCAGATGTTAGTACGTTTTAACCATCAAGCTTAGGCTGCTGTCTGCGTTTAACTACATACATAGATAGGTATTGCCTCCTTTCTCCCCCAGATATGCCCTATATCTACCTCGCATAACTGACGTTGCCTCATTCATGCTCAATAATTACCTGTCTGCCATCGAGAATTATCAAATGAGACACGCTGATTCTATACATAAGTCAATGTCATTTAGAAAAGTAGAACATTTTTATAAAGTGACAAAGGTAACACTTGAAAAAGCAATTCTTATCATGTTTTGTTTTGTTCTTGATCGGATAGCTAAAACATGCCTTCGCTGAGCCCACGCCAACACAAGCTAATGATCTTTTAATGGGATAAACTATTACAATTGGAAGCATTAGAGTGCTCATATAATTAGTGCAACGAACCTCATGGCAAGCTGGCTGATTGCCGAGCTATTCAGTCGGTTATACTCGTATGCTTGAATATTGATTATAAACTTAAAAATCGCTTTGGCTATGCATAGGTGTTTTTTTTTTCACAATCTCATATTCACTGCGTACCTGACACAATGAGAGCCTCATTGGGCCCAACAGTCTGAATGTTTCCCATCGTAAATTGTGTTGCCCGACGTAACGCTGCTGCTTGCGATCGGCGAGAGACGAGTTCTGATTCCTGCACGTGTTCAGTCAATTGTAATGTCGAACAACATGTCCAAGATGTGTTACTATTGTGTCCTCTTTTTATGACATTAACTGACTTTGGCGTGGTTAATGTATCCGTTGAATAATTCGTTGTCGATGGAAAATTTTGTTGTTGTTCACTTTGACTACTGCTTTTTTCAAGAGAGCATTATCCCTCATCGGCTCCTTCTTCTTCCCGAGATGTCAATGGCGACAGTGAATGGACCTAGAATCGAGCACTTAAGGCTGTTGTGGTTGGCTTACTCGGTAGGCGAGGCGCTGCTGTTATTTCCGTTTGTTATTCTTCTACCGTTCTTGCTATTCCTTCGCCGCTATTCGGTTAATTCGAAGGCTCTCCTAATCACAATCCATTCACAAACGCACACATATACATTTGTCACTCTCGAAGACTTCGTTCAACTCAAACCAGATCGCGGTATCGCGGTTCTAACCTTTACCATCTTGCATTCGTCATTGAACATTGCCTCCGCAGGCAGCAACGTCTCTTTTCGACAGCGCCAACCTGACTGCCTGAGCAAACTCAAATAGTCAAATAAGTGATCAAGCTAAGAAACGTGCGTCCAAATATCGCGCGAATTGTTTCATTTCGCGCCTTTGTTTATTGCTGATTTTATTCTATCACGCACACGGCTAAAGAGCTACACCTACACCTAGGTGCAATTTACGCATGAGCACAGACAAGTGCCTCGTTGATGCGGCTTATCACTGTTGTTTCTGTTGCGTTCCTTCGACAAAGTTTATCCTTTTTCGTGATGCTTGCTGCGGGCCTACGGGTCGTTCCTCCTTTGTCAGCGACCGGTGTCGACAATGAAGCAAATGTTCGTAGGTTTCGAATATGGGGTTTCGTTGTTGTTCGGCGTCCCGCTGAGCAACCAGTTTCGGTGACGCTGCAGCGACCCCTTTTGTTTACGAGAGTCGATTTCTGCTGCCGTTTGCAGCAACAGTAAATGTAGTGGTTGTGCAGCTAGTGGAACGTCGCAGCTGCTGTTACGGCGCTCCAAAGTACTGCCACAGCTACGTACATCAGCCAACAGTACTAACGACTGACTCACTGATCGACTGGCACTCGCATAGTTTCGCTGCTGCATTACCAATAGCGGATTAGCTCGAATTTCAACATGGCAACGATGGGACTCGATCAATCTTACCGCTTCGCTTTCGTTCGTACAGCAAACCTTCTCTTGCTTTTTCGTTTGTCCCGCACACCGGTGGAGCTTATGCTAGGCAGGAGCGTAACTGCGCACTACAATCACAATGCACCCGTGCACTTACATAGCCATTCGAACACGCTAGCACATCATTACCTGCGTTATATATCAAATAAAGCACAGTTGCTTTTTCTCGGTAGATAGCCTAATTTGCCATCTAGCCACGGCCAATAATTGCATAGAGTCACTTACGCACACCAGTACAAACAGACAACCACGCACACCACCTACCACTTTACGGCCTTTTGGCCTCTTGCCGCTTCCGCCGCCTCCTCACCCATCGGACCCATAGCACAACAAACGAAATCAACGTTCGTTTTCAAAGTGATGAACGTCCAGCGCCGTCACCTGGGCGCTGTCCCGTCCGACCAGACATCGAACCCCTCACTGGCGGTGGTTGCAGCGCAAGCAGAACGCCAGCGCGACAACATCACACGTAAGGAAGAGCTCGTCTAGCAGAAGGAGGGGCGACGGTAGCCTTTTCGACTTTAACATTCTTCGACAACAACGACGAAGGAAATAACAGCGCTCGACGGCTATCAGCGCGAGAGCCTTTGATGGCAGTGCCGCAGCAGCGGCGCTGCTCATACAGTGCCTTCAAGAGGCGGCGATAGGGTTACAACGACGGGTCTAGGATTATACAGCACCGTGCGATCGGGCGGATAGGACCGGAGCAGCGGCGGCGACGATGCTGTCTATGACTTCGACAGCGAGCGCTGCTACCACGACAGACAATGCTGCTGTGGCAGGCGGCTGCGGTCCTGCGGAGCGACGCCCTTCCTCCTCCCAGACACTCTCGTGATTGCAGCGGTGTATTCCTACACGTTGAGGTTGCAGCGGGCAGCGGTGACATCGCTGCTAACAACAAGACAGAGTGGCCACTCAGCCTCTTGCCGAGCAGAAGGCAGACGAAAGAAAATGAACGTGACATTGTTTCCAGGGACACATATGTGAGAATATTGAGGGGTTGTAGGAGACGGGTCGCGGGGCTGTGGGTGATTATTTTGATGCCCAGCGCGTTGAACCCGCTGATTGGCTGATGTCCGATCCGGAGCGGACGACGGAATCGCCAAATACCTAGAAGCGCGACTGCCTGCTGCCCTTCGTGATGAAGCTTCGATCATTCGCATCGTACTCATCATTACATTAAAATAACCGTTAAATTTTTGAGTAGTCAATTGAATGAGAAGGGGAAAACGAGAAATATTAGACAGTGGTTAGCCTCGAAAGAAGACAGGGAATTTTTAAAATTGTTGCAGGTCTATCTTCAGTGAGGGTTTATTCATCATTTGGCCGATAGTAGGCCGACATAACGACATAGTAGCTATACTTCATCACGTGTTGTTTGTATGAAGTTTTGGCAAAATAAATGGTGAAACTCAGTTAAACAGTAGAGATAAACAAATAGAGGACCCTATTTTATAAACAGAGCTATTTGAGCAATATCAAAAATCGCATCTAATACAAGCTTTGAGAAATATTATTAGAGACATCGTCGCGTTATGTCTATTGCTTAATCATTCCGCCCTTCTACGCTTCGGATAATCGAAGCCTGCGAATCTCTTTTACTAACAAATCGTCTTCAGACCCAGCTCATTCAGTAAGACACAGCTGCTAGGTAATACCCCCATTATTAAAGCCACTATTTACCGCGCTAGCTTAAAGTCGCTTTGAACCGTTTCGAAGTTCCGCTCGCGTCACAAATTCGCCTTGTTCCGCCAGTGACGGTGACAGACTTCCCTGATGCTTCACAAAAACGCAGTCAAATACATACCCCAGTAGTTTGTCGCTGACTTACCATGGCTTCCCCTCCTAGTCTGTTCTTAGTCTGTCTGCAATCGCTCCTAGCGGAAAACAGCCAGAATATCGTCAGCATGATCATGATACATTCACAATACAACAGACAGACGATTCCGGCGGCATAGGGGCGTATCGATTCCCCGCCGGTGGCGGATAAAGTCCCCTTTCTCTCTTACTCGTTGATCTGTACTTACGAAAGAAAAGGAAAAGGCCAGCCGCTTCACACTGTCGTCACCTATGAGAATCGTTAGCTGTCGCCGTCATCATGAAGAATGCGCCGAACATCGGCTAACGCCGTTGCCGTCGTTGCCGCTGCCGCTGCCCCCGCCGGCAACGCATTGATAGCGGGGCGGCCGTCACCACTCAAATAAAATGACCATTGGCTACTAGCAACTGCAATAGCGATTGCGACCCAGAACCGCCACCGCAGGCCGGTTTGAAGCCGCCACTTTTCCAGTACGCTGACTCATTTATCTATTGTTGCTATACCGCCGCCACTTTGGTGACTACGTTGAACAACCAACTGGGTTGCTCACCCCTGTCAACGACAAACGCTGTACATCTCCTACCGTCTCCTGTCCAGTTGAACACCAGCCCATTCTGCCGTTCGATTGCTACCGCCGCTATTGTTGTTTGCACCAAGTCAGCAGGCAATTGGTTGACGGCACTGTGACGAGCAATAGGGACAATCACAGCGACGAAAGGCAAGCACTATTGGTGCTATCAGCTTATCCCTTAAAATCGTATAGTAGAAAAGCCGGTTTATAAAAGGCTTTAGGTGGATGATAGCATGCAGTGGGTGATTTGAGTAACATTCGAAGGTTGTCGTGGCAGAGACAGCACCGCAAGCCATCACCGCTCGTGAAGTGGACCCGGCGACCTGTCGCCGGCGGTTACTCGGTTCCTCCGTAAAATGGTGACGCTGGCACGAGATAGAGGAAACACAAAAAAGAACGGATAGGGCGCCGATGTGCTGGCGCTCAGAGTGGCGATCTGTAAGCAGGTATTTGTTACTGTCATCAACAATCCAAGTGATCGTAAAGTAAAGAAGCTATTGTAAAAGTGCAGTGCTACAGAAAGCTTGTTGTTGGCCGGTTCGTGCTCGTTCCATTAAGTCGATATATATATAATCGCAACAGTTAGCTATTATACTACACACGTTGGTAATGCGGTGACCAGAGCGTCCTTGGCGTCATGCTGCTGATGCGTCAACTACCGATTACGACTGACCGTTCGTGATCGTGGCGTTGTGCCACTGTCTCTGTTTCCCGGAGAAAGGGGATCAACAGTTATGAGTTAGTCGCTCTCTGTCTGTTTCTGTGGTAAAAGACTGTCAACCAACACTTACTTCGCGTGTTTGCAACCTGATGTAGCCAAGCAAATAAATGGGCTAGTGATTAACCGTTTCGCTAGTAATTATTGCATAGCATTATTTGTAATGGTAGAAAGAAACGGAATAGAAAGACGAAAAAGAAAGCTTTTTTTCTTATTGGCAGTAGTGAACGCTAGTTATAGCGATTGACGTAGTGCTGTGATTTGATGAAAGGAAGTGTTTCGAGCTAATTGCATCTGCGCAAGGATCTCTTAGTTAGCATCACTACCATAAACAGTATGTAAAAGAGTTCATCAAGAGATGGAAGTTGGGAATAGGTTAAAACAGGCACGGAAGTTATACAAAGCCGAGTTCATAGAGGGAATTACCTGAGTGAATTAAAGACGATACGAAAGTCGGTATGAAAGTCGACAGGACGTATTGTTTATGCAGTGAAACAATTATCGAATACTTTCGCGGTAGCTTGCGATGTAGCTGGCACGATTTCTTTTGTCTAATTGAGAAACAAGATAGAGTAGTTTAAGAAAGTTGTAGCAGAAGCTGCCCCGTGATAGTTTAGTGGGTAACGTATTTGCCTGCTGATCCAAAGGACACGCTGTGGTCGGGCATAGATAGGTTTCGTTTCGAAGCCAACCTGCCGTCAGATGGAATGCCTAGTGGCAATACCGGACATAAAACTCGAAACAGAGAGATACTGGGATAAACAGTCAGACTGAAAACGCCAAGTCACAGCATTTGGCAGTGAACAGTGAAGCAATATAATATAACGGGGGACCTATATATTACGTACAAACGAGGTACTGTGTGAATTTGCGGAATGAGTGCGGTCAAGCTTATTTTGATGTAATGCTTCCGGTAAATATGGCCATGAGCAGTATTAGTAGAAAAGGCACTTCTTGCAGACTTTAGAGTGCTAATAAAGGTCTTCATTGAGTGGCCAGCCAGAGGTAAACACGTGGAGGAGACTGCCAAACGAGAGCCATGCCTGGTCGCGGAACAGACATTTTCTGTAAAATGATAATGTATCTACATATGAATATAATAGCTACAACGCATAGGGCATGGGGCTCGCATTTTGAAAAGGTTTTTAAAAGCTTACGTTTATTTTATTTACATCGACACTATGGACATGCTTCATTTACGATCTAAAATTATTATTATTATTCATTTAACCTTTATAGAATCGGGTTTCTTCGTTGCCGATGACTAACTATTAGCTTATACTCAAATGGAAAAATCTTGTTAGTAGTTCTTGACGAAGATAGCAAGTCTCCTCCCTAATATATCTGTATCTCTCTATCTAGTTCAGTTGGTAAATTTATTCCAAAAAAATGGTTCAAATCAGTATCGTATATAAGTGGGAATTAGTAAATAGGAAGGTTAATCGAGCAAAAAGTTCATTAGGGAGAAAAGTTAATTTTCTCATCTCATAACGACTACCCACCCATTAGCACACTGTTGCATATGACATTGGAAAGCAATAAAATAATTCGCTATCTGGTGGTCATATCGATGCAGTAGAAATCGATATATTTCAATATTTGCATACGAGGTATTGTTAAGACTGATGACTTGAAAAATGTGGCCGCAGAAACACCTAAATTAGTTCGGACAACTTCAACGGCCGTTAGTCGTGTATTCGCATTATTAGACCGAGATGTATAGCATAAATGACAAGCATGAACACAAAAACGTAACTATATAGTATAATAACAAACGCGCAAGTACTAGCCCCCGTCAGTTTGCATGCGCTCGACGAGAATCAAACCTTCTGGCTTTCAACCGCTGGCGCTACCGCCTACTTTAGTCCTAGTGTTGAAATCGAAACAATTATTTATTAGTAATAATAGCCCTAATTAGTACAAGTATTATGCTGAAAATCAAGTTCGCAACTTACCCAGTTACTTACGATGCGCATGAATATCTGACCTGAGTCTGATATACTTTGTTAGTGAGGATCAGAGTGACATGTGTGGAGCATGTTCAAGCACCAGCCTCGGCTGCTTAATTCTATATAATCGATATTTCCGTAAAAGATCAACGTTTCACACTCAAAATTTGTTTTTGAATGCCGTTAAAGTGTGTGCCTGTTTGGAAATCAAGAAATCACAATCATCTTATATGGGACAGATATAATAGTTTGAGATGAGTATTTTGGACGAGATTGTTTTTTTGTCGGCGACATTTGACTGTGACAAGAAATAAGACCGCCAAGCTAGCGCTAATAATGACGAACACGTTTCAAATAATTATGCTTCGTTGACAGAGTATCACTCTTTCTTCAGATACAGTATTGACTGCAAAATAGAACGTGATTATCAAATACCTCGTAAGCTATAGTATAAATTAGTTCGTCTTGATCACACTAAACCATTAGTGCGAATGGCCAACGAATTAATAACCTCAGATATTGAAGATAAAGCGTTTGTTATCTGTGGCAAACCCACTCTATCATATTTGCTCGCTATAACCTAAAACTATAAGACATTCGCCACCTTAGATGAAATGCGTTGCAGCGTTCTGTAGCTCGCTGTAAACGTCTAGTTCTAATTATTTATTGGTCCATTTGCGACTAGAGATCTCATTCGATTCGGGGAGTCTTGACCTCTTCGAGGCCTATTGTCCACCGCGTTGTTGAGACAACAAACGGCAAATTACTGACGAGCAAGAAGTGGCAACTCCAGTAGCATCATGGCCGACGGAAATGGCCTGGCAAATTCCACGTCTGATTTGGACCGTCAGATCGAACAGTTACGTCGGTGTGAAATTATTCGGGAAGCCGAAGTGAAAGCACTTTGCGCCAAGGCGCGCGAAATTCTCATCGAGGAAAGCAACGTGCAGACGGTGGATGCCCCTGTCACAGTAAGTAGTTACATGAATCTCAAACGATGATAGATTACAATAAGCGTTTATCAAAGTAAAAAACAATGAACATTATTAGTTTGTTAGCGATGTTCGCCTGTGCGCGTCTTCCCCGTATCGTCATGCAGGTGTGCGGCGATATTCACGGCCAATTCTACGATTTGAAAGAGCTATTTCGGGTAGGTGGTGATGTGCCCAACACAAACTATCTATTTATGGGCGACTTCGTAGATCGTGGTTTTTACTCCGTTGAGACGTTCCTGTTGCTGCTAGCACTGAAAGTGCGGTATCCTGACCGAATTACGTTAATTCGTGGCAATCATGAAAGTCGCCAGATTACACAGGTTAGTGGTCTATTAGCAACTACACGTTCAATCATTTTTAAGCTCGATTCGTTTTCAGTTCACACCAGAAATGTTTACATGTTTGAATTTTTTGTGGTGCATCATGCGGTACCTATTATGGAGCGTATAGCGGCAGCGCTCTTGTTTCGTTCGACTCTACTGAATATATGGTATAATGAAAGAGGATACATGGAAGCTTGCCTACGTCTGTTTATTTAATCGCGTTTTATGATGACAGGTGTACGGCTTTTACGATGAGTGCCTCCGCAAATATAACAGTGTTACGGTGTGGCGATATTGTACAGAAATTTTTGACTACCTTTCGTTATCGGCTATCATTGACGGGAAGATCTTCTGTGTGCATGGTGGTCTTTCGCCATCGATCCAAAGGCTCGACCAAATTCGTACCATCGACCGTAAACAAGAGGTATGCGTTTGAGGCAATTAGTTGTGAGCTAAACCGTAACCATACAGGCTCAGATACTGACGACCCCGTTTCGGTGACAGCAATTAACTGTGTGCAATTTTAGCTTTCCCATTTAGAGCTGTCCCATAACAACGCACTTGAAGAGTCTGACTTTCGTTCTCTACACCAGCATCGAAGGCTATGTTTCGTCATATGAGATCAAAGGTCATTGTTGAAAAATACACATTCAATTCAAATTAAATCATGTTATACGTTTAAAATTTGTTGAATATTTTTGAGTGAAACATTTTCTAGTTTAACCACGGAGTGTCAATTTTCATATGTTCCGAGGAACAACCCCATGATAGCTCAGTGGCTAAAGCGTGTGTCAAGTAATTTTAAATATAGGTTTGAATCCGGGCGTAAACACACTTCGTTTCGCGCTAGGAACTACCTGTTCTGAATAATACTTAACGGTTTAAAGTGTGCGACAGTTACAGGACGTCGCGGCCACCTTTATTAATTACGGGTCTTCTTCACTGACATATAGCTCGAAAAAATTATTTCCGTTACAGATATTGCGAAACGCGTATTACTTTGCTTTTTACGTTTTGCTTGTTTGATAGGTGCCCCATGACGGTCCCATGTGCGATCTTTTGTGGTCTGACCCCGAGGAAACACAGGGTTGGGGTGTTAGCCCTCGTGGCGCTGGGTACCTCTTTGGCAGCGATGTTGTCCAACAATTTAACACGGCCAATAACATCGATATGATTTGCAGGTAAAGTAAGTGGCTCGAAGTGATCAATTATTATAACGGTATTTGTCCTATGATTGCCTCGTGAATTCGGCGTCCGAAAATTAGAAATTCTAATATTGCAGACGAACTTTTCGTCATCAAATGTTTTCTGACACTAGATTTTCTGAAGCAAACTTTGAATTTTTTTACGTTTACTTGGCTGTTGCATACAATGCTTTGCTCTTTCGCATTTTTTAGAAACAAATACCGATACTACAACGGTTGCTATAATTACTATGCAATTGACTGAGATGAATTTTGTTATCCCAAAAATGTATACTATGATTCAATATAGCATTAGCTTTTATTTACATATTCTAAATAATTAATTTTTTTTTGAATAATCAAAATAATTTTGATAAAATATCCCTTCTTCCTAGCGTAGATGATTAAAATTATTATTAGTATTGTTTATTATTATTGTTTATTGTTGTTATGGTCAATAGGTTGCTGACAACGGCGGTCTGTTGATTCACTAATTTTATCAAACATCCCAGGTAATGTTGTGACTCACTCTTGTTTAGTTGCAGCTTTTAAATCTTCTAAAGTTTTTGGTTTTCTGGCATAGACTTTGCGGTATATTTTAAGAAAGACTTTATTGGCATTAAGTCCAGAAAACGGGTAGGGTATTCTATAAAGTTTCTTCGTCCAGCTTATCCGGACCCAAGATATGCTCATACATGACGATTATAGTGTTGAAACGTTTTGTCCTGCTGCGAAAATTTGAAACGAATGCGCCATTTTTACCATTTTTCTGAATACGTAGTAAAACAGATTGTTGCAGTACATTGAAGTAACTGGTGCCAGCTAATGTATTATCGAGAAATAATAGTTCAATTAACTTTTTGCTTGAAGTGCCACACCACACAATAACTTCTAATAAGTTTGTGTGTAATATCTGGACTTACAGTCGTTCAGTTAGTATAATACAGTGCCCAGTTACGTCGATATGTTGTGCCATCTAATTTAATGTAGCTTCATCGCTCCAAACAATCTTTCCCATAAACTGCGCCAAGAATCTTCACCCATAGTTCATTGTTGGAACATAATCTTCCCGGTTTCATCGTTTTAAGATGCGACGGATACTTTCTAGAAAGTTTCGCTATAATTTTACAATCCTCTTTTCTCGTTGGTGAATCGTGTTAATAATCTTGGTTATTTAGACCAATGCCTATTAATATTCCGAACATCTCAAACTTTTCGTTTCGGGCTAATTGTAAGCCGCTTAGGTCGGTCCGCCTGAAGCTACTCGCAATATTATATTTTTACTTTTGTTACATTATCATAGGAATAGTATTTCAAAATACTTCTTCTTTTCGAAAGTTAATATATATCTACTCTATATTAATTCAAAATAGTAATAATAAGAATAAATAATAATAATACAAAATAGTAATAATGAAAAAGAACAATCAGAAATTAATGACATTGATGGTTGAACATTTTTGGGACATTTTTTATATAATAATTAGTAAACAGTAATGAAACCCTATTTCCACTTTAGGGCTCATCAACTGGTTATGGAGGGTTACAAGTGGCACTTTAATGAACTCGTTCTTACTGTCTGGTCCGCGCCTAATTACTGTTACCGGTAAGACATTGTCCTTTAGAAAAAAGCTTTACAACAACACTCTGACAAATTTAATTAAAAACTTGCATAACATGCTTCATTATACTTAACCGTTGTAATTATTGCTACTTTGTAAAATTATAATTACGCAGATGAATGATCTGTGCATACAAATTCGTATTGTTAGATTTCACTATTAGAACATCTAAGATATCTCCAGATAAGTTTCACACTAACAATTTTGTATTAGATATAATTAATATTAACTTGTGATCGATGTGCGCTTCATTTAACCGTATGTATTGTAGATGCGGAAACGTAGCAGCGATCCTGGAATTAGACGAGTACCTTCAACGAGACTTCACGATATTTGAGGCAGCCCCTCAAGAAAGCCGGGGCATCCCAACAAAAAAGCCCCAACCGGACTATTTCCTCTAAAGATAACGCACTCGAGCTGGCTTTTGGGTGATATCCGAAAGAGGAAACGGTTGTATAAGGACCTGTGCCGGTTCTGCAATCCCTACAAAACTATGTAACAGGCCGGGGATATATTTCAAAGTGGACGTGTACTGCAGGACTTGTATCGGGAAATGAGGGCGTTATATGTGCACATTAATTTCAGTTATATTATTATAACTATCGATGTACACTCTTTTCGAGCATAGGAAATAAAAACAACGGGTTCTATATATTATTTACTAATAAATGTCTCCTTTTATCATCGATATCATAATTTAATGTGAGGTGCGCCATTGCCAGACTGCAGCTAAATTAGTCTGCTTTGCCCAAAATGATACCCCTCGCTATCGTACATTAAGCGCAATTTTGATAGCAAGATCACGATGAAATTAAAAACAACTTTATTAATTTCTTTTCAGCGCAGCCGCACAGAGGTATGCATCTTTAGTATGCAGAATTAACTTCCGTGTCAGCGTTATTTTATTTTACGTTTCGAGTGCCATCTTTGCTAATTATAAAAAATGCAACACGCTTTGCAATTTACTTTATACAACATTATCATTATGTTAATCATTAAGTTTTATACTATCGATATTGTATTTCGTTTTCGTTATATATATATATATTTTTTTTTTTGCTAAGGAGTTCAGTATACAAAGCAACACGTGAACGAACGCGTGGAGCTTCCTTCTAAATAGCACGTTTAGAAGCCCGTAACCCTTTTTTCACCATATTCGAGACCCTAGAGCATGTAACGTCTTATTCGAAGCTAGTTCCTATTCAATCAATGTGTTTCCACAACGTCTAATATGCGACTACCTTCTAACTACGCCAGCGCTTCTCCAGACCGCTTCACAAATTTTTTTACACCCGCTAACGGCTGTAATAACTTTTTCTTGGCTCCATTAACATTCTTTTTCAACAATGCTTTCTTGGACACTTTTGACTTCACATTTTCATTCTCCTTGAAAGTTGGCACGGATCCTTTAGAGTCATTAACTTTTTGGGCTTTTTGTGGTTGCATCAACTTGCCTATAATTGAAATATAGCATGTTGGTATTAGAGAAACAAAGTACTACTTTATAAAGCAATTAATAAAAAAATGTTGAACTATTGTTTCTACCACGAAGCATACCTTTATTAAAATATTTTAAAGATTTCATATTAAAAAGAATATACGGACTAGTGCTACGTGTTTAAATATCATATTATAGGTCTTGAAAAGCACAGCACTAATTTTTTTGCCGCAAAAGCTTAGCAGTATCTTTATTACTGAAGCCGTATTACGTTGAACTCTATTTCATTATTTACCACAAATAGTAGGCCAGACACATTTTGCTAGATTCTTTGAGCTAAGTTATAGATGTTTATGAGACTTACCGTTTACAACAGAAGACCGTCGGCTTTTTTGTTTTTTTCTATTCTCAAGTAGCTTTTGTTTCTTTCTGAGCAAAATCCTGGGTTTAGTATTACCTTCAGCTCCGGTTTGTTGGGCTTTCTTAGTGCTTTTTTTCAGAATTCTGTTCTCCGAACGCGAATGAGCTTTGTTAGCTTGTTGGGTAAGTTCTAAAAAGCATCAAACACCTGTGAATTAGCAAATTGCATCCCACTTCGTCTGACCTTTTAAATTTTTAAACGTTTATCTATAAAGTTTTTGCACTCTAAACAAACACTGAGCTTAAAAAAATTAGAGCTCAAAATTTAAAATTAGAACAACAGTATTAAACCATGTTGGTTTATAAAAAATATTATTTTTACATTGTTTAGTTTTATATGCGCATGAAGTAGGAAATGCGACTTCAACTCGTAACAGAACGATTTAAAAATCGCGCCAAATTTGTCCTAGTGTAAGTGTATATTTGTACCATATAAAGAAAATTGTTTTTATAGAAAGCAATAAAACGCAGAGTATACACCTGTATAACTTACCTGGGCTAGTAGCTATTTTTTTAGGGAGTTTAGGGCCGTTTGAAACTTTTCTCAGCTTAACGATAAAGAATCCTTCCATATTGTGCGTATGGGGGTAGAAACGCTTAGCGAGGTTCATCTGTGGTCCAAACCGATGCTCTCGATAGCGCGGGAGGCCTTCGCGGCCAAATTTCAAACCAGTATCAACAATTTCGACATGGCGGTGCTTGACAGCATAATCCACGACACACTCGTTTTCTTCAGGCTAGAAAAAAATGATGGAAGAGTATTGGTTGAGAACTAAGTGAACTCTAAGCATACACAGCTTAACTAGTTGGTGGTGTAGAAAACGCATCAAAAGGACATTAAATTTTCCAAATCTTTAGTGGACCACTTAGTTTTACGAAAACAAAATCCTGTTTGATAATGAGTGATTATCTCAGTACACCCCAAATTTCACCCTAGAAAAAAATCCATATGATGGTCAGACATCCATTGCCAAATCTCTTTTCGTCAACTTGGTAACGCAAACTAGAATTCGGTCCTATATGATGGTTCACGATTTACATACAGAATTAGAATACCCACTAGAACTGAACAAGTAGAGTAGACGATGTATCCACCACTTGGAGAAAATGCATCCACGCAGTCTATTGCCGTAAGCAGCAATTCTCGCTGCAAATGCGCGCAGCGAAGAATGTCTTTAGCGTCCTTCGACGTTTTTACCCTTTCATCCTTTGACATAACACCAGAACCCGAACAGGGGGCATCCACCAGAACACGATCAAACCCGGTCATTATCTAGTGTCATCAAACAACAAACAGGCACTACTATTATCTGCAGAGGATGATAGGCTTTGGCGAAACATACCAGAAGCCAGATTCCTAATAGGTTGATAGTTCGCCAATAATGATATACATAAATTAAAAATAAGGAAATGTATCGGATCTTTTTCATTCATCAGCATTTAATATTTTTGTAACTACTTTTTACCTTGCTAAATTTCCGCCCATCTACCGCGCTTACCACAGCGTTTGTAACTCCAAGACGATGCAAGTTCGCTATGATCGCCTATATATTAAAGTTCAACAAACACTTGTTAAATATTAACACTCTAATTTTCAAAATGGAGATATTTGTCATAGTACACGGCACACTGACCATTCGTTCAATGTAACATGTCATATCTTTTCCACCCTATATTATCATTTACATCCAAAAAATGCATTCTTACTGCGGCTGCATAAGGAGTCACCTTATCATCGATTTTCATGTTTAGGGATTTGAAATAATGGTATCTTTTGATACAAAATAAAAGGTCATTGTCGCAACAATTAGTTATTTCACTTCTCGATCGCCAGTTGCCAAGAGATACAAGCATATTTTACGTATAGATGCACATAAAATGGATAGCAAAACAAAATGTTACCGCCCTGCCAAAGACTAACTACTTAGCCTAAGAAAAAGCCAGTACCTTGCAACGGTCCGGCTGCACATCGTTAACAAATAAAACGCCAGTGTTTTTCATTAGGGCCCCAATGTGGGCCGATTTTCCTCCAGGAGCAGCACAAAGGTCGAGCACTTTTTCACTTTCCCGAGGCGCCAATGCCAGTACTGGCAACATTGACGCAGCACCCTGAAGCATGTAGTGACCAGCAAGATATTCAGGAGTCGCACCAACCGGTACCTGAGAAAAAAACCGATACGCAGGCGAGCAAATATATAGCATTTACTTGCAACGTGGTTACACTGTGTGTTCCAAACAGACAAATGATGGACAGGCAAGAATATGTTTGCCGTCTACATCAAAGTAACAAAAGTTGATCGTTTACAGGCTACGAAATACACGCGACTGGCAATATAGCAGCGCATATTATCGTGTGATTTTTTTCTTATCTAAGCTATCCTAGCCATGATGAAAGCTCGAAATCTATAAGAACTTGAGTAGATTCTCCATGTAAAACACTACTGAATATCAGGCCTAGTTGGGCAATGCATGCCAAACGCCTTCGGTACCAAACCTACCTGGGAGTTATAAATGACTAGTCCTTCCTTAGACCATTCGCCAAGCGGATCCAGATTGACTCCTCGATTGAGCAACGCCTGGGCAAGTTCACGCCGACGAGTTTTTAATGTATTCGTCCTGATAGTGATCGGCCGTTGAACCTGATTTGCCTCAAGGAACTCGGCAAGCTCACCGGGCATAAACAGTTGCATCAATCTCTCCATAAGAAAGTCATTATAAGAATAGTAGGTACAGAAATCTCTTGACAGCTGTTCAAGATAATCACGACGGGGGCGACCAGTCTCACCGCGGTATGCAAGGTCAGCGAGAACATATAAAATGTCTTTGATTCGTTGCTGGATAGTCGCCATGTCCTGAGGCTCTTCCTGTTCGCGAGCCACTTCTTCGGCTGTCGGCAGGCGAAAATCATCCGAAAATCTACCACCCATCCGTTTAGTATCCTTTTAAGAACAGAAGCAGGTTATGAACTTGGTGTTTTAGTAAGATGGATAACGGACATTTGTTACGGCTAATCGCTACAATGCACACCGTCGATCACAGTCAGTAGGCGCAGCACTTAACTGCTTTAGATGTTCAAATTCAAATACAAGTTAAATTTTAAATTTCAGTACCCTCATATATGACTATCTTTAAAGGACCTGGAGCCCTTTGAAAAGGTATCGGCGTGTGCAGATCGTGATATTTTTTATGTTCAAGTTATATATTGTATAATTAAGGTTATCACTCTTCGTTAATGACCTTTGATTCCTGTGCTACTGCATTCTTATTTTGATTCATTATTAAATCTAATGTGCTACGATATTAGCCTACTTCTTTTATAACGCTTAAATCTAATAGAAAGGTTCTAATAGAAAGTAAATTATAAATGTAAGGTAATAATACCTCCAGTTCATCCTTTTCGAGTTTGGCATCTTCCTGCTGTTTTTTCAGAAGTTCTTTTGCCTTACGCTCAACGTGCATTTCTTCTGCATCCGAAAAATCTTCTACCTCGCCTTCCACCTAAATGACACGTGAGGCAAACGTATTGATGACTTGTTAAGCGGTTTCTAATAACAATAACTATTATATACATTTCCCTTGTTCAGCGTCACAATGAGCGCTCACCTCTGAATTAATAAAGGTACATTCGAATCTAAACATTATTTTATGTCCTGTAATGACGCTAAAAAAACATATAAAGAACAATTTGCAATGAAAACACGGTCTCATCCATACGCAAAGAACAAAAACTAGATGATGGGCAGAAAAACGAATGACCACTTTATATAAGGATGTAACATATAATTATCATGAATTAAATTGTTGCTAGTTCTCTTGTAATTCGGCAATGTTAGCAGTTCGTGTTGACATATATTCATTTTTTATTAACTGGGATTTAGATAAACCTACCCCATCATGTTTTTTTTTTTCTCCAGAAGTGGCCGTTGTGAAGTCGTCATCCATGACACCCTCGTTGTCATCATCACTCTCATCAAACAATGCTTTTCCACCTTTAGACCCTGACCTAGTTTTGGGTTTAAGCCAGTTTTTGTTATCATCTGTGTATTCCTGGGCCTTTGTCTTGTCGTCGTTTTCCATAGACTCGTCCATGTTAGCCAGCTGTTGCTCCTCCTTGTCCGAGAATTCTGAAAACAGATGGACGATTACATGCATAAATGATAGTGATAATAATTATTATTAAACGTAATAAGTTTTTCTGTTTAATTATATACATCTATAGGTACCGGACGTCTTAACATATGTGTATACTGTTTAACGGGTCATAAGATTCTGATTACTTTTTCTTTTCAGGGTGTAATCAATTGGAAAAAATAGTGGATTAAGATTAACTTTTGAATAAACAAATTTATTTTAAAAGGCTATTGGGAGTACAATATTGAAACATTAACGAGATCCACCGGCCAAAGAAGCAAACAGTAAAGTTACAGCCGAACACCCCAAAAATCCGTAGCATAATAAAGTTCTAAGCGTGGTGTCGACAAATCAAATGTCCATCGCATAACACACTCTAAACAGAAAATTTGTATTTTAACAGTGGTACATGCTGTTAATGCAGACCGAAGAAAACTATTTTAGAAAAATATAAACGGAATGCAGCTTTTAGAGACATATATTTGGAGCAAGGAAGCTGCATTCAAATAAATGGTGTAATAAGTCGATTCAATTGCGCTTACTGGCCGACTGTGAATACACATGTTACGTAGGGACACCATTTAAATTTGCGGGGAGTTGCAATGCGATGCGGCATTAAAGGTACAGAACCTACGTATCTTTTTTAACATTGCGGTCACTGGTACCAATTATTTGAATGTACTGCGAGAATCTCTTTGACCACGCGTTCGGGAAAATTTTGATTGTTTATCTTTAACAGAACGAGGCATTTGTATACTATCACCATGATGTAAGAGCATACTTTGATAAAAATCAAATGAAATTCACAAGGGGATTCGAAAATTACCTTCCATACGCCAGAGCCTATGCCAATGTATGCTTTCTCGTAGAGATACTTTAAAGATAGCATCTGTGCCAGAAAACCAATTACAGTAACAGATTCAAAAGACGCAGTTGAGCGAGAATGCGCCATAACAGCAAATTAATGATTTGTTGAAGTTTGCAGTAGCGTATCGACCAGAGCTGCATTCATTTTGAACATTTACAATAAGAAGAAATATTAGTCATTTGACGTAGATTCTTTTGCAATATTTAGTATTAATTATATGTAAACAAAAACTAAAGTTATAATCACTAAAACTGTATATAACTTTTGGTGATATATCGCGTTTATACACGGTATATTTTGAGAAACACACCGTAATTAATATTCTGCCTTGAACCGAAAGGAAGCCGATACATTTTCTAATTCCATACTTTTTAATTCAAAACAGGACACTGACACGAAGTAGAAGTATATACAACATTAACAATTAAAAAAAACGTCTATGCGAAATGTATTGGATGAAAAAAATGCTTGAACGTAACTCCTTTGGAATTCACAGTAAATTGTTTTCTGCAGCCAAACATATTAGCCTAAAGAAAGGATGCTCAATCCTATACAAACCTTCAAAAGCTTCGGGTTCGGCTTCGGAATTATCAAGCCGAGAGGCAGGTTTCTTTGTATTTTTTTTGGCTCCATCGTTGCTTAATCGTCCCTTGAGATGGCGTTTCTTCAGCCGTTTTAGTTGGTTCCGTGATAGCTTTTTGTGTTCATTTTCTGTAAAATTGTATCGCAGCGAAAACACGTTTAAAATACAGTAGATACCAACGCCGATAATAAGTATCTTAATTTGATGAAAACTAAAGGAAGTCCCATTTTGCATAATGGAAAAGGCCGTCGGATTAGTATCTATAAGTTGTTGGTTTTCCATGCTATCATGGGTGCATAACCTTGTCTTGTGCCGGTTGTAAACATTACTTCGAAATAAACAAAAAGCTATTGTGTTCATCCTATTTATGATCCTATGACCAAATCGAAATGACCGTTGCAATATATCTCTTTAGACTGTCCTCATGCTTATTATAGCGTGCCTAGTTTTAATACGTTGATGATATTAATTGGTTTTGATGTTTTTACAGTGCTTTAAAACACACAACGTGGTTGAAAAATAGGCTAGAGCAAGCATGAGATGAGTAGCGCAAAACTTCCACATGTAACTGAATATAAGACGGTTGTTTGGTGCGCGGGAGCTACTAACCTGTTACTTGTATCTCTTTAATAATCGAATTCGAATGCACTCTCTTCCCTTGTCGTGAAGTATGATAGAACTCTTCAATGGATTGATTTTACCGTATGGTGACGAAAGCAGAATGATTTTCGACTAGTCAATCTAGTGCTTTGCCTAACATAGATGAGTGATATGTACTTTCAAACGGTTAAAAACTATATGTAATAAGTAACAGATAGGCTAACGGATAACCAATAACAACAATGGCAGTAACAAATAGAATGTTATATTAGGCTGTCATTTGCACCTCAAATGTCCAAGGCAAGTGCTTAACCCCGTATGTTGGACAATGAAACAACAGTAAATATTTGAATATCAATAGTGTATTTAATGAGCAGATATTTACTCGTATGTAACTTAGCTAGGACAGTTCATAATGAATTGCAAGCCCTAAATCTGTCTTAACTCAGCATGGGCTGTGCAAGAGTAATTAGAAATTGACTAATTATAGACTTACTTGCTTTTAGTTGTTTTAGCAACGGCGGGGGTGGCTGCACTCGTGATTTTCGACCCTTGCCGCGTTTCGGCTTTTCATCATAATTTGCTTTGCGACCCATATTGTCTCACTGATGTTAACTAAATAACAAAAATGATGTTAAATAAATAACAAAAATGTCTAATCGTGATTGTTAATAAACGGAAAAGTACTCAGCGACGTCAGAATCTTATTCGTAGGTTGAGTTTTTTTCACGAAAAGCACTTGGAACTTCTGTTGTTCCACGAAGTGGCGCCGCACAGCGGCTGTCCACAAGACACACCTTACACGAACGGGAACACTTTACTAGGCTGTAATTTAACTAAATGGTCAGCTGAATTAAAATCACGTTTTTTTTTACGAGATCTTCGGCGTTCGCCTGTCCAACACCCGAACCCCTGAACGCTCCATAACAACCACACGTGGGGCCAGTGACGTATCTAGCATTCTATCAACATTATAAAAAATTAACTTTTTTGATTATTGTGGCACGTTCTGATATAAGTGTAGCTCACGAAATTATTGTTAGGAAGGTACCAATCTTAAGATAAAAATTAGGCGTGCTTTAGCGCTTCGAATAGCTACTTATAACTTTAATAGAAGAAAAATACGGACTGTGCGCGTCCCAGACATGCGCTAATAATCGAGGTTTGACAATAACAATGAAGATGTCCGGGCTGACTCGAACCGTTCTTCGAACCAATGGTGAGCGAATTTACGCTATTCATGTACTGAATTTCATCTTGTTCCGAAATGTATTGATTCACAAAAACTAGCATTCGTTATACACACGAAAATTGTACAAAAAAATTCATTTTGTATGGGTAAAATTCTTTTTTTTTAATGTCACTCCTGGAGGTCAACAATGAAATGTCCATAGAAAATGTCGGTAACCGTATGCATATAACTGTAAACTAGTGTAGTTATCATCAAATTGGCCAATAAAAAATCGAATAAGTCAAAGCTGTTCGTTTTCGATTCAGGCGAAAACATGCGAATTTAGCATTAAAGTGATATTGCTGCTTTACGGAAAAGGGGTCTTGAACATCAATGATACTAAGCCCAACCAAAAAAGGTCCAGAAAATCGATCATATTTTGAAAACTCGAATCCACTGTAAGAAGAGCGTCTAAAAAATGTTTTCACTCGTTACGTTATAGGAAAGTTTGTTTGTCGCGATTCTTCTTATAAAGGAGAAACTTGTCAGGCCGTTCTATTGGATCTCTATTTATTTTGCCGGCTATCTCAAATCACAAAAAAATTGAATTATTTAACAAGCATCTAGCTACTCTATGGACAATTTGGTGACAGTGGAAGGCGAATACTATCGTATCCAGTATTCTTGAGATATATTTGTGAAATGGTCCATAACAGAGATGCACAATTAGCACTTATGTCTGTGTTCTATAATGCAGAAAACTGCTGAAAATTTGCTGTCGTGGTTACGTATCTGTAATAAATTATTAATAAAAGTAAAAATGCATCGCAAGGTTAAAAATCAAGTATTAATTAGCAGTCTTAGAAGTTGTATAGTAAAATATTTTGATTTTTACTTGACATGAGAGTAAAAAACAAGCCGTGAGTCGAGTATACTAGTACAAATCGTGACTGCGATTTACTTTGTTAATTGTTCCGTTCATGTTTGGTGTTTCAGGCGGGTTTTCTGCGGGCACGCGAGGTTTTAAGCGTTCATCACCACTAACAGGAAAAGGTGAATTTAAGAACGTTAACAATGAGCATGTTCAAGAAGACATGTCGTGGAACGCAATCACAGATCGTGCCGCCACTCAGTTCTTTTTTAGCGAAATCATACGTGGTAAGCGTCCCGTTGTTGGGAGGTCGCAGAACGAGCTTGTAACTTAGTCAGCCATTCAGCAATACAAAGAATCAATTAGACATTAGAAATACAAAAATCTAACTTACAACAAACATAAGTAGGTATATGGGATCTTTTTTTAAATTTTAACCAGTATTGGTCTATGCATGCACTGTAAAGGCAGATATGCTCAAGAAGATTGAATACATTTTTTTCGATCAATATTTAATAATATGCCAAGTTTGTCCTGGTGCAATGATATATCATATACATTTGGTACTCTGCAGGCTTGGGTGTCACCATTGGCAGTATCTTCAAAGAGCCCGCAACTATCAATTACCCGTTTGAAAAGGGTCCGTTGTCGCCGCGTTTTCGTGGTGAACATGCACTTCGACGCTACCCAAGCGGCGAGGAGCGTTGTATCGCTTGCAAGCTGTGTGAAGCCATCTGTCCAGCACAAGCAATCACTATTGAGGCGGAAGAGCGTGCTGATGGAAGTCGACGCACAACGAGGTGGGTACTGTCTTGTAGTGTAAGGCCTGTAATTCAACCCCTCTCGAAGTTAGTCAGCCATCTTAGCAGCCTTTTTGTCTTGAGTCCATAATTTAAACGGAAGGAAGTGGGAATACCTAAAATCACACTAATTTCTAATCACAATTAACAAGAAGGCAGCCGTTCCCACATACCACTGTAGAGGCAATGAAAATGACTCTGAAAAAGTCTACCTTAGAATCACTCCATTCTACAAATAATGAGCCGTCTTTCGTTATCTAAGCATGCGCCACGATTCGTTTTTCTATGCTTTTATATATATTCACCTTACTTCGTAGTAGATACTCTAATCTGAACGCCGAACTAACAAGAGCATTGTCTCTATATTTGTGTGTTTGTATGTCTACGCGTTCAGGTACGACATCGATATGACCAAGTGCATTTATTGCGGTTTCTGTCAAGAGGCATGCCCAGTTGACGCTATTGTTGAAGGGCCCAATTTCGAATACTCAACTGAGACGCATGAAGAGCTCCTGTACAACAAAGAGAAACTCCTTAGCAACGGCGATAAGTGGGAGCCCGAGATTCAGGCGAACATCCAGGCCGATTATTTGTACCGCTAGGACAAACATCTTAGTCAATAACAATTTTTAGATGGTTATATGATAATGAGAACCATGAGCCTAAACTTTAATTGTGGCGCAATCAAATAGAGAGCTACCCGAAAAACCGCTCGGCGCTGCGTACATTGTCAATGATAGAAAGTTAAAGAATATCTGAAACTAATGAAATCGGAAAACAAAAACCTGGGTTGCTGAATTCAGCGTCAAAAATGTATTTAACTGTCATGAACAGTCTTTATCTAGGAAAAACCGATGATACATTGCTCCGTGTCATGACATTTCAATACGTAATAGCCGGTTTTGCCACAGCGCAAGCGCTGTAATGCACTCTCTTGCGTTCCGATTCTCAATGCGTGTTGTGTTATTGAAAATTTATGGCCCTTACACTGGCATTTAGTCTCGAGCACCACCTAGGATCCTTCTGAAATCAATAGATTAGAATGACTTATGCCGCGTGACGTTTTGTAGGGAAATCCTGCTTTGGGAAACCGGGGCGTCATTAATCGAATAAGCAAGCTTTATTGAGGAACGAATTTAATCGAGACCAGATGATAACTAGTGAATCTATCTTTCAATATCTCTTGCAGAAAATCCACATTATCTGTTGTTTAGTGATATTATATAATAAACAACAAAGAATACAAACCCAAGTTAATTTATTTGTTGTCTTTTTTGACATTGTTGGTCGTGCATGCAAGGAGATTTTTTTTATAGAGAGAAGTTGAAGCATAAGCATTTTATGGAAATGTTAGGCTAATCTGTGACTGTGCTTTATTATAACGTTGTTGTTTCAATTACAATTATTTTTTTAACAGCGACGATTGCTAAGAGTCATACAGCACTGTCGAATAAATTATTTATTGGACTGTCAAGGTCATGCCAAACTGAAAAACAATAATCCTATATTGGCACAATTTAGGCTCCATGTCCAACTTGTGTGTCAAATCATGTAACGAGTATATTTTCTGAACGGTTTGCTTTTACCATTTTTATTTGGGTCACGATACAGGGGTATATCCGAGGATTTCGTTGTACTAGGAATTCTATTGTTACACGACAACAAACTAGAAACTAGCAGGTATTATTCCTAATAGAAGTTGCTAAAGTGGGTTTTGAATGGTGTTTTAAAACAATTTTGCTGGCGATTGTATTTACAAAAGAAAATGTTACCTTCGTCAGATTATGATTAAAAATAGACAGCCGTACAATTTAATTTCTGTTTCTGATAAGACAGAAAGCGTGCTCAACTATTTTTTTAAGAGAGTACGGCAAAGCTACATTTTTTGTAAACTATTGTTAAACTCTGATTGCAGGTTATGTATTAAGTACTCACGTGAAAGCTTTACAGAGCATTTTTCTTTGGCCAGGGTTTTGAGGTACTCTTCCAGTGTTGAGTACTTCCTTTCAACATCATCGAACAGTACAATGTGTACTTTGGATGTGGGTTCCACCTATGCGCCGGTGGCCATGCGCAAAACTCACTGACCAAACTTAGTCTGATCTCTTCGTCACTTATCAAAAGATTCGGACTTGTCCTAGATAAAACAGAGCTTGGAGTCGCCTTAAATTTTTTGGTGGAGTGAATTGTAACTCGTAAGGTCAATTTTACCAAATGTGTGAATTTTATGTGGTTCTTTATGATTCTAAATCAAGTGCCGGCTAATATATATGATCGTCCGTTTGTAGCAGCATATCCTCAGCCATTACGTTTGAAGTGACAACAGACATAAACAGACATATATTTAAGGTTGCGAGAGAGTATCTTTAACGGTGTGATATACGAAAAAAATACGTAACGAAGAATATATATATGTATATATTATTATTACGTACTTTATATATATATATATAAAGTACGTAATAATAATACGTATACTGTCAGGTAAGACCGGTGAGAAGATCAACTTTCGACGGATTTAAAAATTCATCTTAATTAACTCTGAAAGCGGATGAAAGGATGCTCTAGGGAACCACCCTATCTGAAGAGATGATATCTGACGATATATATTCATAATTTTTACATTTTGCCTAAGGACTTGTCGATATTTTCTAAAATTCGTAATTTGTAGTAGTGCTAATATCAGTTGATCCATTTTCCTGAAGGATCTAAGTATAGTATGACAATCGCATATTAACTGGGGGAAAGGACTATCGGACAATGGCACCGATCATGCTTGTTTAGTGGGCTTTCTCTTCGAACTTAGTTCAAACGACAGTTTTTTTTTTCTAGAAAATCTTTTGTTGTACTCGTCCAATTAGGCATTCCTTGGAATGATTGTCCACAATTTTCAAAATATTTTTTTTTTGATTTGTCACTGTAATCATTCCCATGTCTTTATCCCTGGCAGTAGTGCGATAGATTATACATTTCCCTCCCTTTGCCTTTGCTTTTTAGCTTAGTTATTACTTATTTTTACTGCATACAATTATTTTTACAAATAATCTACGTATTATCTAAACCGTTAGCCACGGCTGGACTTTTGCAAGAACTCGTCTATATTCTTCAATTGTAAATATCATTTAAATGATAAATTCTTCCAGAAATAAATACCGAAACATTTTGAAAAAAACTCATCTATAATGGCAGCTGTTGTAGATTTCTGAATACCGTAATTTCTAAAATCAATCTCAACTGAGAATTACTAACATATTAGACTTCGTTTTACCGTTACTCGCTTCATAATTGTTTGTCTTCATAGGTTCTGTTCCTGAGGCCGCGCTGTGCACAGATTGCGCGCCAAATAAATGTTAATGCCAAGACATATCATTTTACAGTTTACATGGTGTTGCTACTTTGTGAAGCATAAATCCGATTTATTAACCTACTTACCGTCCCTACACTGAATTATATATCGAGTGAACAAAACAGGAGTACTATATTCTGATAGAGCATTGAGTTTATTGGCCTATCTACCAGAGGAGTTCCGGTCGCTTCCACCTTCTTCCTCGACAATTTTTACTACACTGACACCCAAACAGCGGTAACACAACTACTTACCGACGACTAGTGCTGTTCAAATAGAGATAGGAACTTTGCCCAATCTTGAGTTTCGCTCAAGGCTGTTTTATGGAAATGGTAAGACGCCGAGGCGCCCCGTAGGGAAATAACGCAGAAACAGAAATTAAATTTGTAGCAAGCAAGCGCCTATTTGCAGTGACCCGCAGCGTCAATTGCGATACACAATTCCAGACTTATTCCTTGGGTCCCAATCGCTTACCAGCATTGGGAGAACGGGAGAGTACAACCGTCGAGAAACTGGCAAAGAAAGTAGCTTGACAGAGTGAGGCAATCGCTGTAAAAGCGGAGCTTCTCCTAAGGAGAGTCGTATCGCATGTTCTTCTAAAGTGCGAATGACACTTACGACAAATTTAGTGAGCAGAAAAGAGAAATGCCATTACGCCTACGGCGTACGGCTTCGACCGAGAACGGACTGGGGGGTATAGATGTTTGCTGTCAGGCCAACCACAGCGTCGATGACCCTGGTAGTGGCCTGCTAATCGATAGAAACATCGTCACTTGCAAATTAAACTAAATTGTGGTGTGAGGCTTTTGTATGTAGGCAGTGTGCTTGAATATTCAAGAGGTTAGGTTAATATGGATAGGAATCCCAGACAGCCCAAGGACATAAATGAATTACTTTTCTAGGACAGTTTCGTTACGGATTAGCATACTGTTCAAAAGTAAATAAACAGTTTTAAATTCATAGGTTAGTACTAAATTCTGTAAAGTTTGATGAAAATAATAAGTAAGCATCCATGCTTCAAGAAATAGTATACAAAAGGACATGTGATATAACTGAGGTAACTAAACATATGAAGATTTGAAAGTATATTTGTATAAATGTGTGTAACTCACATTTTGATGACGCATTATTTCGTACAAGTTTCCTTCTAAATGCCTCTATTTCATTCATAGCTATGAGTTCGCTTTTGTTTTAGAGATTTTTGGAAATTTTCGGAATGATCTTTTGAAAGTACAGATAAATAAGGCTGTATTTTAAGCAGCAATAGGGCCAAATCGGACAGCTTCAACACATTACAAACCATGCAATACATACCAATACATATATGTGCCGTGGTATAATATATGTTTTATAGTTTTATTGCATATGTATATATCCAATAAAACTAACTAAAAACCTCACAGAGAGGTCGCATGCGTTATTTAGTTTTCTGCTGTGTCTGCCCATGCGTAGTGTCTCCGCGAGAAGGTACCTAGTGTGTAACCTGCCAGTTATTGCTTTATGTTTTGCGTGCCAAAAGCTGCTTTAGATCAACAGTATGCATATACTTGAATAGCGGAAGGGAGTGGGCAATGCGTTGCAAAGTGGCTTGAAGAACATGTAGTGAATATTGACCATAATAGAGCTTCTGGAGCCAGATCCTCATTGAAAGTGATATATAAACAAGAGTGTCGCTCCTTCGTTACTTCTTTACATTGAAGCTGTTTAGTGCTGATAGTGTAATTTTTACTAATTTTATACGTAGTAAACATTATTTATGGTGACGAAACTATCAGTATAGAAGGGTGGTCCGTCTTTTTGTTTATTGTTTGGTACTTTTATGTGAGTACTTTGTATCAATATTCATGAATCAGCCATGGTAGGTCCTAATAGTGTTAAGAAAATCGAGGCTTCAAATTCTGATGCTGCGACGATCGGTCAACCGTAATCGTAAAATAGCATTTTAACTATCGAATTCTCAGTTACTGAGAGTTTATACCTGATATTTTGGCATCTAAAAAACGACAGTTAATATATGAGAAATATAGCTCGCACAAAATAGCAGTATGGTGATATATCTAACATATTGTCTACATATGATGTGATGAGAGGCATATGCTGGCTGATAAATATGTTCGAAGTGAAAATATCAAAGGTTTCTTGGGGAACTTTTTCGTAAGGGCTGAAATCTCTCCACGATCCATTCTCTTTTGCTAGGCATAAAATGTTTAGGCGGAGCATCTCTTGAAAATGATAGGACCGATGGACCGGAAAAATTCACACGGGACTAAAAATTACAGTTAGAGATTCGATCTTTTTGGTGGCTTGATAAAGCTGCTACGGCCTTTACTACAGAAGAAAACTTTCCTGGATTAAGAAGTTTTGTTGAAGCAGAAAGTGCTTTTGAGTAGTTTTTTTTGTCTACTGCATGTACGACTCAGTCTGCCTGAAAAGTCACAAGCCATGCTTGAAAAAGTAGCAGCCAATAGCGTATCAATCCTGATTGGTCCAGTTTCTAGATATACGCGGCCGATTACTTTACGACGAAGGCAACGCCCAAGGGCGTATTTCGGGTAGCTATTTGCGAAGTAAGAGAACGTGACTTCAAGTGTTTGTACAGTTGCACGTGAAACTCAAAAGAAAGCGACTACTCCGGACAAAAGCTTTGCTGGGATTTGTCAAGACTCTGTCTAGGTACCTCCGCAGCCTTAATGTGTTCTTATAGTACGTTTCTGTAGCATAAAAAATTTTTTGAAACTTTATTATCGTTAACGGATAGCAGTGGTCTTGAAGGTCGGGGCGCGACTTCGATGAGAGTTTATTGTACTACCACTTATTGAAAAAGCTAAATTCGCAAGAGTTTTGCATTATTTTATGTTGTAATGAATCGACCAGTCTGAAAATTAGCTTGTTCTGTTAAGATATATTTCAT